TTGCTTTGAACTCTCTAGAATTGGCTTCCAGATTTCTGCCCGTTTATTATTTGAGCATAGAAAGCACTTGAAGCCAGAGGGTTTTTCGAAAAATCGGAATTGAGGTTTTCCTTTAGAATTCTAGCCCAAGAGCACCAGTGTCTTGATTTAAGTAAAACTGTATTTGATGTCAGGGGTGAGGACTGAGGTGTAAACATAGACATTATTTTGAAAGTGAATGCATTCTAACAAGTTTACCCAGCAGCTTTCCCTTTCACATTCCAGAGTGTTTCCCAACTGCAAATTTGCGGACAAATGCTTGTTCATCCATCCAAATTGTAAATACGATGCCAAGTGCACCAAGCCAGATTGCCCCTACACTCATGCCAGTCGTCGGACCCCACTGCCACCTCCTAAACCAGGTAAAGATTTATTGCTATTCCAGGTTTCGATGTGGGCTTGCTGGGAAGAATGTGCTAGCGAAACCAAAGGCAGGTTGCTTGTGGGTTTCCCAGAGGCATCCGATTGGCCAAGTTGGGAAACAAGATACTGAACTAGATGGACCTTTGATTGGTGGAGCAGGGCTCTTCTTAGGTTCCTCCTGCCTCTGCTATCAATTGGGTCAGTTGTTGATTCTGACCTCCACACACACACACACACACACACACTCCCGGATGGCTGAAACAATTGTTGAAAATGCAACAAAGCAGCACAGTGGCACACCAAACATGCCATTTGCTAACGACAAAAGAAAAGTCCAGCAGCAAATCCGCTGTGCCAAACCATAACGTAAAAAGTTTGCAGTGCTCTTCGACAGCTCTGCCTTCCCCCTACCACCACCGCCAAAAAAAGCATAAAACAAAATATGCCAGGCCAACAGCTCCACCAACCAGTGCGTTGCAAACATTGGCGAAGGTATAAGATAGAATCATCTTGCAACCGTTGGTAGTTGTGACCATTGCAGTCCGCAGTATGCATGTTTCATAATATTTGGTTGCAGCAGCGCAGGCTGCTGAATGATAATTTAAAAGACATCACAAAGTTGTCTTTTTAACGTAAGAGGAGGCAGGCCAAGGTGTCTCAACTCAGCCCTGTCCCACAAGGACTGACAGCAGCTTGTGGGGTGATGGAAAGGCGCTCCCCTTCTTTGCCTAGCTCATTGCTGCTGCTTCCAGCAAATGTTATGGCTAGCCACTTTCTTGTCCTTGGAGGACCCAAGACTCCCAGTCTCTCTGTTTCTCCTCCCCCCTCCCCCTGCTTTTCAGCTTGGAAACAACTTTGTGGTGCAACATGATTTGAGCTGTATTTTCCCCTTTCACAGACCATGAAATTTTGCAGAAAGCTGTGTTTTGAACACAGATGGAGGAATGGTTATGTGTTTTTGTCGATGTTGCGTCTTTCTGAAGCAATCTGAATTTTGGTTTTTAACTGCTTATTTATCCATTATATTTATATCTGGTCTGTCATAATCTTATGGGATTTGCAGCAAATGGATCCTACAGTCTCCCATCCAGACACTGACCAGATCCAGACCATCTTAGTGCAGCAAGGTGGTTGTCTCACTTGCCTCCAGAAACAATTTCCTGCAGTTGAACTTTAGGAATTGAAATTGCAGTCTTTTTGAATGTTGTCAATACATGTGAAACCATTCGCTGTTGTGTCTGGTATCAGTCACTTCCCTCCTCCATTAATGGGTTTTGCAGCTCCACCTCCAGCAGCGCCAACATCTTCTAACAGCCAACTCTGTCGATTCTTCCCTGCTTGTAAGAAAATGGAATGCCCTTTCTACCATCCCAAAGTAAGTACCATGTTTTCATTTTCTCTGCAGGGGAGTTTCAAAAAGTTGGGCCGAAGCTTTAAGTGGAACTCATTCTGCGCCCAGGGAATATGAAGTATTAGCCCAGCCTCGTTAAATAATCACTATTAATATTTCCAGCCTTCAAGAGTACCTTACGCTGCGCTTGACAACATCTGTGTGCATACATGCACACATGCATTCTATACATCAACCTGGAAGGAGGGCTAAGCACAGGTCTTGTTATACTCAAGAAGTAGTCCTAGTTTGCAATTTATACGCCCCTTATTTTAGATTTTAACTATTGTCAAATCCAATTGTGTCCCCCTTCTCCTGTTCCACCCTTCGTCCCTTGCTGTCCAAAGGATCCCCCAACCCTCTGGAGCAGATTTGAGGGACAGCGGTCGGGGACACCAGGGGAAAGGGGGAAATAAGTGAAAATGGACTTCCCCTTCCATTGTAGGATTTGGTTGCCGTATGCATATTCATTCCTTGATGTATGCAGCATCAAGTGGTGATATGCATCTGTGAATGAACCATCAATAACAATCCAGATGGGAATTTCATATCACCTTCTAAATACAATGTTTTTACATTGACTCAGTTCACATGTTCATCAGGTGCTATTCATCAAGTGAATTTTATTGAACTGGTCCTAGGATTTGTAGTAGTCAATCGACCGTAGAAATCTTCCACCCTATGTTAAGATAACCCAAGTCATATATTTGAAAGCTTGTATTAAAGGTAAGTCATACTTCAAATAGAAATATGCAAGTAGTGTACACTCTATGGATTCGACTAAACAGGCAAAACTGAACTCCCTTGCCATTGCCTTTTCTCAATCCTGTTATTTACTTAGCATTGCAGGTTTAACACTCAGTGTACCAGAGTCGACTGTACGTTTTACCATCCTTCTGTTTCTGTACCACCACGTCATGCCTTAAAATGGACCCGAACTCAAACTAGGTAATGTATTTCTCTTACTCTGTTAAATTGCACATGCTAATCAAACATGAAAATGCACAATCATTTTGCTTAACAAGCTGTTAGGCAAAAACTGTAAGAAACTTGAGTAAGAGCAGTTCTTCATTATATGTTGAAAACTCGTTTTTCAGAGTTTTGCCCTCCCTAATTTTGAAATATATGGAGATTGGTGATTTTTAGGGAAGAACGATAATTATCATGACACATTTTCTAATTTTCTGTATTTATTTTTTTCAGTGAATAATTTGCACAACCCATAATTCACCTTTGTACAATGATGGGCGGATACTCACTGATGGAACAAGATGCTGTAAAAGCTATTGTATATGCTAGGCCTTGAATCTATATTGTTTCATAAAATGAAGTCGATTGCCTACTTGAAATGTGAAATTTTCAAAACTTGTATATTTAATAACTGGTTTTACATATTTTTACTGTAAAAATGTCAGTAGGGAAGAGGATTTTGCTTTAACACTAATAAAAATGTCAAGGCACGGTTATTGTCCTACTTACGTTGGGCCAGTAAGTTTCTCCTTTTTGCTCACAATTTTACAAATCTCCTTTGGAGCATCCATTCCACGACTGGAAAAAATTACTGCATTACAAAGAAACTGTTTCTTTTGGGAAATTGTTGTTAAAGTAATATAACTCATATGTGCTTTAAAGAAACCATCATCTTCACTATAGATTACCTCACCTTATTTTTTGCCATTTAAATTTCTTTTCTAGAAAATAGTAAGCAAGCTCTTAAAAGTAGGGAAATGTTACCAATTTAATGACACCTAAAGTATGTGGATTATGATAGGTCTGGGTCTGGTCAATGCCTGAATGAGAGACCAGCTGGGAAGAAAGGCAAGATATAAATGGAATAAATTAAATAGAAGTTTTTTGAATGGAAATCAGGCTGGTGGAGAGATATAACTGCAGGTCAGCTGTCAGCACCCCATCCCAACAGACTGAATTTCCCTCTCCCAGTTTATTCAAATTGGTGTCAAAGCTTGCTACAGCTAGCATTTGAAACCAGATTTTAAAGTTTGACTGTAAACCTGGTTAAGGTACAGTCTGGCCAGCTGTTAAGTTGTTGACGAATCCTTCAGCTTTGCTTTAGAATTCACTCCTGGAAGGTAGTTTGTATGGGGGAAAGAGCATTCTGTCTTCTAAATGCTGTTTAAGGAAAGGCCTAAATTGTATCTGTTGCCTTCATTGCAGTTAGTCTAGATGGCTAGTCTCAGGAGCGAAGGAGTATGGGCAGGCCTGCTAATAAGTCTGTGTATTGAAGTACTGGTTTTCCTTGAAACAATACTCTGCTATAATTATACATAGGTATATCCTGGAATCTAAATGGCAGAAATGGGTGTTCTTCTGGGCTCCTTAGGGTATAATATAAAAGATTAAGCAGTAACATAAATGTATTTTTTATTAAATCTTTTGTATCTTTTGGGGAACTACATTTTCACAAAAATATACAAAAGATAATATTCTGTACAAATATTTACATTAGATATCGGAAAACGAAAGTTAACTCCACATTTTTAAACCCAAGTTTGACCAATATATTCTTGAATTCTGAAATTTAACAACCGAGGAAATTATTTCAAAATCTTTGTTTTCAGATTTTTTAAATAAAAAACTTGATGTATGAAAAAAAAGGCTTAACTGATACACTTTTTAAATAACAAATTCGAAGATTATTTGATCACAGGGATTAGCTCTTTATGATGAAAACCCAAAAGAGAACACAATTTGCTACTGTAATAAAGGTCACAGTTAACATACACCTTTGGGTTATTGTTGGACGTAACATTTTGTTGCTGCTGTTAAAGCAAAATGGATCATCTGACAAACACGTTAGAGTGAGATATTGGGGACCTAGAAAATAAACCTAGAATTTCAGTGAAATGTGGTAAAACAGACAGTGAAGGGCATAAAAAGCGTGTTGTGTTAAAAAAAAATAGGAACAGTGACAAAGCATGGCATTTCTAGTTAATGAAAGCTTCTGCTTTCAATTCATAATGATGAATACTTCAGGGCTTTTGGAAATCGCATATTCAAATACTTACCGTATTTTTCACTCCATAAGACGCACCAGACCATAAGACGCACCTAGTTTTTGGAGGAGGAAAACAAGAAAAAAAATATTCTGAATCCCAGAAGCCAGAACAGCAAGAGGGATCGCTGGGCAGCGAAAGCAGCGATCCTTCTTGCTGTTCTGGCTCCTGGGATAACTGTGCAGCCTCCATTCACTCCATAAGACGCACACACATTTCCCCTTACTTTTTAGGAGGGAAAAAGTGAGTCTTATAGAGCAAAAAATACGGTATTTGTAACCTTGTTTATGGAAATACTTTCAATTTGCAGGAAGCTATTCCTGTTTCACTGAGGACAAAACTAGCCAGGAGCTGCCCTCACATGAGAAAAGGAGAGGCGACTGCTTCAAGCAGCAGAAACACAGAGGCAGCACATCCCATTGTATACGTTTATTTCCCCCTTGTTTCTGATAGAGATCTCCTCTCACCCCTTCTTCCTTGGTAGGGAAGGAGGTGCCATTTTGTGGTCCGCCTCAGGTGCCAGAATGTCTTGGGCCAGCCCTGTTTGGCTGTGGCCTAAAACGGCTGGAAGCAGCCTGGCGATATTAAGCCCTTTGTGGCAGAAGCTGACCTTTAACACTGTGCAGCTTAACCTGCAGTTGCCAGCGCTCACTGGCAAAATCGAAAACAAGGTTCTGTTGACCCAATTCCCACCCACATCTCCAATCTGGCTTCAGACAAACCAAGCATCAATAAATCCCTCTAAACACACTTTCCGGTGCCTCTCAGCCTGAGATCCAAAACATTTATTTGGAAGCAAGTCCTGTTGATTTCAGGGCAGCTTGATTCAAAATAAGTAGTACAAGGGACGTCAAGTAAGTGGGTAAGTTTAGGTTTCACCAGCATAGTGGGTCGGATAATGCGTCCTCTGTTACCACTTGCAATGCACTCTGCAGATGTTTTGTTTGTTGTAATGCCAAAGTTTTCCAAACTTTGCATGTTTTGTATCAGTCCTGTAAAGGTAAAGGTACCCCTGCCTGTACGGGCTAGTCTTGACAGACTCTGGGGTTGTGCGCCCATCTCACTCTATAGGCCGGGGGCTAGCGCTGTCCGGAGACACTTCCGGGTCACGTGGCCAGCGTGACAAGCTGCATCTGGCGAGCCAGAGCCACACACGGAAACGCCGTTTACCTTCCCGCGAGTAAGCGGTCCCTATTTATCTACTTGGCAGGGACGCGGGTGGCGCTGTGGGTAAAAGCCTCAGTGCCTAGGGCTTGCCGATCGAAAGGTCGGCGGTTCGAATCCCCGCGGCGGGGTGCGCTCCCGTTGTTCGGTCCCAGCGCCTGCCAACCTAGCAGTTCGAAAGCACCCCCGGGTGCAAGTAGATAAATAGGGACCGCTTACTGGCGGGAAGGTAAACGGTGTTTCCGTGTGCTGCGCTGGCTTGCCAGATGCAGCTTTGTCACGCTGACCACGTGACCCGGAAGTGTCTCCGGACAGCGCTGGTCCCCGGCCTCTTGAGTGAGATGGGCGCACAACCCTAGAGTCTGTCAAGACTGGCCCGTACGGGCAGGGGTACCTTTACCTTTACCTTTATTTATCTACTTGCACACGGGGGTGCTTTCGAACTGCTAGGTTGGCAGGCGCTGGGACCGAGCAGCGGGAGCGCACCCCGCCGCGGGGATTCGAACCGCCGACCTTTCGATCGGCAAGCCCTAGGCGCTGAGGCTTTTACCCACAGCGCCACCCGCGTCAGTCCTGTACAGATGGTCAAATCCAGCCCAGCACCACCCACGTGCTAGGTGCTTGACAGCTTTCCTCTACTTTGCGTGGTTCTTTGCCTTCCTGTGCAAGCAGAAAACTTGGTATATCAAATCTGTTGTGAGTCGCCAAACATAGCTGTTGGACTGGATTTGTTGGGGGTCAGATGTGGCACAGAGCTGTTCTCTAAATACAGAGTACTGTATAGGTCCATTTAAATACATAATTTGCCTTCCTTTGTACATCCTATAATTTGGGACCAATTTATTGAATGTTATCAAGTGGTTTAGGACCACAGGTCACTTTACCAGGTGACAGCTGTTAAAACTGTATTCCCTATTAATTTCAAACACACACAGAGAGAGAGGGAGAGAGACAGACAAGACACTGGATGAGTTCAAAAGGATGTCTGTTCAGTCCTACAATTATAAATTTTCAGTAAGCATCATCTAGTCTATAGTTTTGCCCTTATTATCTTGAGTCACACTTACAAGAAAAAGCAACTAAAATGTTATATTGTTTGCAAATAAATCAATGTTTTCTAAGCCAAGGTTCTGTATTCAAGAACACTGCAGCAAGGTGAAGCTTTACATTTAGCCACACAATTGTTCTTTTAAATTACTTTAGATGCCCCAAGGCTCCAAAGCACAATCATAATGAAATATTTGCAATAAAATGAAAAACAAAAACAAACCAGGCTTTATCATTATGGAAAAGCGTTGAAAGCACCAAGATTTTTTCAAAAAAGTGAACCACAAAGTCATGTAGTTTGTGCAAGATTTCATGCATTTGGGTTTGGGGTTAAAATAATAATTTACAGAATTCTCAAAATATTCACCGGCCTTCATGGCCATAGGATACAGTCTGGAGTTTAGAAACTAACATTCATGCACCTGAAATATGAATTCTACACTCAACACATTTTGCTTAAAAAAAATAGTGTTCTACATCAGACTCTCGAGAAATCTTAATTATGGAATTGTGTTTTTTATTCTAAATTATATTTTCTTCAGGGAGCAGGGAGTTATTAAAGGATGGTTTGTGATAATTCCTATTTAGGAGAATCCATGAAAATTGAATTTCTAAAATGGCTACTTTTCACTAGATGCAAAGCAAAATACAGTCTTAGTTAGGGGCCCATATCTTGCAAATGAATGAAATCAATGTCCTCTCAGACTAAATGGTTATCCAAATCTCATGGTTCTTGGAAGTGTGAGGCTTGTGCCTCTAGAGGGCACAAACATTTGCCAGAGAGTTTCCATGAGCTGGATGGGAGGAACCTGAGAAGGAACAGGCTAGGAATCTGCAATACAGAAAGCTGCTGTGTGCCACAGCCTGTAGACTTTGCAGTGCTAGAGCTGCGCCAGCTTTAAGGCAGTGCGGATGGTTCCCCCGCGTAGAGCGCCAAGCCAAGAGGGCACAAATCTAAGAAGATCCATCTGGAGGCACTAAATTTTGGCCCCGCACAGGCCTTGCCATATTACAAAAGATTACCAAAGTCCGCCTCTGGCTGGATATGTCTTTCTCATAAGTTTTCGTTTCACTCCTGGAGCTCCTTAAGTTGTGCGGCAGCTCCCTACTCACTCCCATTCCTATGTGGTTTTTCTACTGCCATTTTTGTTATGAGTTGCATACCTATGCAAGAACAAGTGAGTATGGACTTCTGGGTTTGGTACTATGCTAGAATTTGTCTCTCATTTTGCAACCGTAATAGATAGAAATTGCTTGTGGGTAGGGGGGATATCAGTCCAGGGACAGCTGCCTATTTTGTATAAAGGAGTAGCAGCCAGTTACAGACCCTCTACACTCCACAGACTGGATTTTTGGAGCTCTTTAAGTGTGTTGTCTGTGAACTGCACTTGGCATTAGGGCCCTCCTTCCCAGAGGCCCAGAGATTTCACTATGTGCAAAGGTTGTCATGCTGTAAAAAGCATTTGGGTGGTATTCAAATTAGTTAAACTCAAAATTTTTCATTGTTATTTATTTATTAAATTTGCATACCACCCTTTTCCCGACGATCACAGGATGGCTCACAACATAAAAATACAAAATGAGAACACAAAATGCATAATAAAAACAAACCAATAAACCCCCACCCACCCACAAAGACCTTTAAAAGTCCATAGAATGTTAATCAGCCCAAGGCCTGGTTATAGAGAAACATTTTCACTTGGCGCCTAAAGATAATGTAATGCAGGGGCTGGGTGAGCCTTCCTGGGGAGAGCATTCCACAAATGGGGAGCCACTGCAGAAAAGGCCTGTTCTCGTGTTGCCAACCTCTGGACCTCTCGAGGAGGAGGCACACGACGAAGCGTATCAGATGAGGATCTCGGTAGGTTCATATGGACAGAGATGGTCCTTGAGCTATAGCGGTCCTGAGCTATAACCAGCACTTTGAATTGGGCCCAAAAGCTAATTGGCAGCTTGTGCAGTTGGGCCAGGAACAGTGTAATAAGCTCAAACCACCTTTCGCTGATGAGCAACCTGGCCTTGAATTCTGTACCAGCTGAAGTTTCTGAACTGCCTTCAGAGGCAGCCCCATAACACATTGCAGTAATCTAACCTAGAGGTTACCACAGCATAGATGACATAGGTTAGGCCATCACTGTCCAGGAGTGCAGCTAGGCCCCCAGCCAAAGGCTAAGCCACCTTAGCCTCAAGTGACAGCAAAAGATCTAGAAGTATCCCCAAGCTACATACCCGCTCCTTCAGAGAGTGTGTAACCCCATGAAGAGCAAGCAACCTCACAGCCATCTGGTTTAGCAAACCGCCCACTAAGAGTGTTTCAGTCTTATCTGGATTGAGCTTCAGTTTATTGGTTCTCATCCAGTCCATTACTGAGACAAAACAATGGTCCAATCTGCCACACCATAAAGGAGAGGTAGAGCTATGTGTCATCAGCATATTGCTGATAATGCACTGCAAAAGGCTGGATAACCCCACTCAGAAGTTTTGTGTAGATGTTAAACAGCATTGGAGATAAAATTGTACCCTGAGGCTCCACAGGACCAATGAGCAGTCCCCAAGCATCACCCTGTGGAAAAGTCCATCCAAGTAAGACCAGAACCACCACAAAGCGGCGCCACCCACTCCTAGCTTGGACAGTTGCCCCAGAAGGATATCATGTCCAATGGTATCAAAAGCCTCTGAGAGGTTGAGAATTGACAAGGACACATTTCCCCTGTCTCTTTTCCAACAGTGATTCCTCGCTTCCATCATACAACGTGGCCAAAGCAGTTTCTGTGCGAAAACCAGGCCTAAACACTGATTGAAATAGATCTAGAAAATCAGTTTCCTCCAAGAGCTCCTGGATCTGGTACAGACCAACCCCATCCTGCTTACCCATCCTGATCTGTAACAGACCAGATCAGCCTCCTCATTCACAATCAAATCATGGTTGAGAGAGGTGTTATTCAAAGCTGGCTTGGCATTCAACAATAGCAGCTGCAGACCCAAAGTCTGCTGATAGGACAACCACAATTTCCCAGGCTTGAAGGAGGGCTGGCACATGGCACAGTCACTAACTGCCTGTGCCGTGTGCCCCTTACCAGAAGACCCACTGAAATGGATGTATTCACAGAGTATGCAATTTATACATTACTATTTACTGCTGTAATAAAGATGGAGCCATTTCCTTTCTGGGCAAGGTGATCAGGAGGTTAGTAGTTGACCGGCTGCAGATATGCCTGGAGGAAGCAGGTTATATATGCCCATTTCAGTCTTGTTTCAGGCCCTGTTTTTGCACTGAAACAGTCTTGGTTGTCCTATAGGGACTGTGCCCCTATTCATTTTGCTTGATCTCTCAATGGCTTTTGACACCATTGACTATGGTGTCCTTCTGGAATGCCTCAGAAGCATGAGTTGGAGGCACCATATTATGGTGGTTTCACCCCTATTGGCAGAGACTATTGCTCAACCTCACGGCTTTTGATCTGTGGGGTGCTGAAAGGGGCTATGCTGTCTCCTGCACTATTTAACATCTTTATGACATGGTTTGGAGCTGTCATCCATGAATCTGGAGCATGGTTTCCCTAGTCTGCCATTGCTAACCTCTCAAGAGTTTTCCATGGCTATGAGTGCTTATGCTCTGCTTAGCTGTTCCAGCACTGGATAGCCTGACCTCAGTTGTCCATGCTCTGGTGACCTCCTGCCTGAACTACAGTAATGCACTATACATGGGGCTGCCCTTGAAGATCATCTGAGGCTGCAGCTAGTGCAGAATGGCTGCTAGGTTGGATGGGACCATGTGTCACCGGTCCTGAAAGCAGTGCTCAGGCTGTCAGAGCTACTAGGCTCAATGCAAGGTGCTAGTACTAGCACAAAACTCTGAACAGTACCCAAAAGAACACCTCCTCAAGTAACAACCATACAGGACCCTGTGGGGTGTGAAACACAGAGCAATCAAATACAACATTCCTAGAGTGGACATAACAAGGGGATGTCTGGACCAGCCAGTCGGAACTTCCTGTTTCCTCCTGGGCTGGGACAAACTTCCTCTACATGTGACCAGAGGTGGACGTGACCTCACCTGTGCAGGTAACAAAATAGCACAGGGGAGGCAGCCATCTGAGTCTCTGACTCCATTCCCACAGGCCCTATGATCAGCAGGAGGGGTACTGTTGGTGCTGCTGCGAGCTGCTGCCGAGTTAGCCTTAACCTATGAAGTAACCTTGGTGGTGCCCCCCCCCCCGGTGAGATGCATCTGTCTCTCTCATTATTAACGTTCAGGAGGAACTTAAAAACATTCCTGTTCACCCAGGCATTTGACAGCTGAAAGGTACTGTTCCGGACAGCCTTATAACTACAAGCTGTGAATGTGATTGTTTTAAAATGCTTTTAGACGTTTCAAAATGTTGTTGGATCTTGTTATTGTTTTTAATGTTTGAATATGTTTGAATTTGATTTTTCATAGTATTAAGATGTATTAAGTTTGCTGCCCTGGGCTCCTTATTGAGGAAGTGTGGGATAGAAATTTTAATAACAAGTTGTTGCTTGGGTGCCTAATATTTGTTCTTACATAATATAGAACCGTCATTCACACATATACCGTATTTTGTGGTTTTTGAAATGCCTGCTTGGAAAAGGGGACTCATTTTTGTAACTGTTCAATTAGCTTGGCTTCCAGAACATTTCACCATAGTCTCTGTATTATGCAAATGCTTATACATGGAGAGTGGTATCAACAGTTCATGTTTTCAAAATAAACTGACACATTTGCGATTATTTCAATCTGAGCTTTCAGCTTGCTGAACGCCTTTGATACAACAGTTATTTACATATCCCTCCACCATGCTCATGAAACAAAATATAGTGCAGGCCCAACTCATATGATCTTCTCTTGATGGAGAAGAAATAAACACTTGTTTAAGCACCTGTGTTACAACATTGTATGCAAATAGTGGAAATATGACACGTGCTCTTCCCTCCACCATGGAAAATAACATTGGCTGGGTAAGCATGCAGATAAACCCTAATTAGTCCATCCAAATATGGTCTCTCGTTAAATCCCTTCTAATTTATGAGGTGTTAAAAGTGCAAAGCCAAGGCATCTGGTAGAGGGTGGCTGGTAGACCTGGAGGCCTCCAGAGGTTGTTAGACTCCAACTCCATCAACCCCAGCCAATATGGCCAATGATAATGGAATTTGGGGGCTTGTTCTATAAGGTCTAAAGTAACATAACCAGGAGAAGAATTTGGTTTGCTTGTATCACAGTGATTGGTGAGTGCATAGTAGGTTTAGCATGCTCACATGTTTATCCGCATTGTATGAATGTGGCTGCTGGGAGGCAAAAAGCCAGAGGTTTTTCACAATGCTGCAGTGAGCCTCTGGCTTGCGCACTTCCCCCTCCTTCTTCCTCTTCCTTCATAGCTGGGAGGTGGAATTTGAAAGCTTTCACTTCTCTTTGTTGTTTTTTTTTAATTAACTGCAGCTCATCATTTTGTCCAAACCCCCCAAAACATGGTTTAAATAAGCCAACTTCAAAACATGGGTTATGGGTGTTATCATGTATTTGATTATGAGAAGAGAGTTCTGACATGATATGTAATCAAACTGGCTTTAAAAAAAGATGTTACATTTCCTGGATTGCCGTGTATAATTACTGTACATGGAAAAATAATTCTAGACAATACTCAAGACAATTTTATGTTGTTTAGTTACCCCCAAATAAGTTAAACACTCTGCTGAATGGTAAATCAGCATAGTTATGTCAAAAGATGGATTTCCCCCTCCCCATCCACTTTCAAGCATGCTTTGGGGTAAATCTGATGTTCACATTAGGGTTCGCGGAAAACTAGAACATAATTTTGTGAATGTTGCATTGGGCAGAGTTAATTCTATTTTTGCATCTCATTATATTGATGTCCCACAATGCACAGGATATACACATTACCCTGATTTAGATAACCTGAACCCAGCAGAAGGCTGCATGATTGCTGGGATGCTGAATTCTCATTGTTCAGAGAAACAGGGAATGGGCGTGCCTGGCCTCAAATTAGATCTAAAATGTTTCACACAGGAGTCAGGATGCTTCTCAGTACTAATCAGTGAGGGAAGTAAAAGAGGGGTGCCAAGACTGTGCATGCAGTGGAATGTGCCAGGGACACAAATGTCACAGAAGTGATTCATTTGTCACCTGCAATTCTCATGTATATACCTGTACTAAGAAGCACAAACCAGTGTATTCAGAATGTATGCTTATTTTGATGCTTACATTTGGTTGTTAGAACCATTTCAAACATACAGGCACTTGTATTTCAAAAATCTAACTCGCCAACTTGCGTGTAATTTTTCCCTGTGTAGATACGATTTTGACACGGGGTTGATTTGAGAACAAATGATCCCTCATGTGCCTTCTGTGGCTGCCTGTATGCATGAATGAATGAATGGACTAGCTGTAAGATTATTAGCCGGAGAGCAAGGGATTCAATGAGTCTTACTCTGTGCAAAATAATAATAATTGGTAAAATATATTTGAATTATCTATTCACTTTGAATTCACTAAGCAATGCTGTGAAAATGCAATTAATAAATCCTATTGCATCGAATGGCACCCCACAGCTTCTTAAATGTATAAACATTAACATGAGCAGCCTGGTCCTCATTTCCAGCACAGCTCTGCAAGCAAACACAGCGATTTATCTTTCATTGAGAACACTTTTATTCACAAGGCAAAAACCAGAGTTAGACTTTTAGGTTGTGGGCAAGGCACTCACAATGTGAGCAAATGTTATTCTGCTCACAGAACTAATTTAATGCTTGTGATACAAAAACACTAAATTAGCCTTGAAGAATGGGTTCACGCATGTCTACTAGCATTCACCAGACATTATTACAACCCAAGCCTTAAAACCAATAGAATTTCTGCAGGTCCTAGGAACAAACTTAATTCTTGGGACTTTTTTGTGAACTAGATAAACCTTTTGCTGGTTTATCTCTTTTATTTTCTATTTTATTTTCACCCATTTAAAAAAATATTATAGTTTAAGAGCTGCAAGGTGGCTTTCATTTCAGTAATAAAATAAGGAGTCTTCTATTTGAGTGAGAGTCAATCCCCAGTACTTAAACATTCATGCTGAAAGTAAACACAGCAATGTACAGCACTAGGTCAGAAATAACATCTCTTGATTACAAATTCAGGATCTTATTGGGAAACTGTACACTGAGCCAAAACTCACTTCTTCCTTTCCATGTGTTTCAGCATCTGGCAGTGAGTGGGAAACAGATGTAGGATATCTGATACTGCAGTAATGTGACTAGACTCAATACATTTGCAGTGCTCCATCCTTCTGATAGACTCTAGTCAGTCAGGTGGACTGTTGTCTGTTTTTATCAGCACCATTTCTCGAAGCATGCTGGACACTGGAGAATGTCTCTTTGCAATTGTGGGGCACTGACGCCTCTTCAGTAGTGTCCTCTTTGGAAGGTCTCCATGTCTCTCAATGTGGCATATGTACACATTTCCAGACAAATATGCTGTATTTTCAAACAGAAAGTAAGAGAAGAAATAAAAGTTACAGCAAGCTGATAGATTTTAAAAGTAATTTCAATGTATATTTAAAGTTGTTATGCTTGGTTTTTTGCTAGTTCAACATGACTGCTCGTCTTTCAAGCATCTGAGTGTTGGGGTAATTGCCGGCAGGTAGGGTGGGCGACCAGGCAACGACATTATATGTGCCAGCCCATTACTCTTATCTGCGTGCCGCTCCTCAATCTTCTTCCCCAATGAGATTCTGTGACTCATGTCCAGAGACACTGAGCACACATTAGCAGAGAAACAACATCAGCAGAAGCTAGGCTCGGGGGTGTGAGTACTAAGCTACTTTATTTATATACAAAATCAGGACAAAGGAAAACATGGCTCATCTCCTTCTTGCTCTCAGAGAGAAGAGAGAACATAAAAGCAATACAGAACGGAACTTCTGTTCACAAGACTCCAACAATCAGTGCTGGATGTAAAACACAGACATGTGATTAAAACATTCCCACACGTCTGCATAGCGAGGGAATGGAATACAAACACTGAGTCCCTTTTCAGAAAAAGCAGAAAATAATTTGCTTTAATCTGTTTTTTTCTAGCATTTAGATAAAGATTTACATACCTGCTGTCATCTCCGCCAGCACTAACAACATATCTGTCCCCACTTGTAAAACGAATATTAGTCACGTGGGCTGAGTGACCTAAAAATCGTTTATGTTTTGCCTTTGAAATAAAACAAAATCTACATGTCATTTTATTATTTTTAAAATGAGCCCCTAATCCCACAGTATGCTTATGTAGAATTATTTTTAATCTGTCTCCCCCACAACATGCTGCTACCATCCACATTACTGCCACGCTATCCCAATCTCTCCTGACCCTTTAGAAACAAAAGTGTGGTTCAGCAGCTGGATCAATTTGAAGTTTGCACTGATCCAGCTGCTGAACCACACTTCTGTTTCTATGTAGAGAACTGCAGAACAGTGATACAGCAAATGCGCATGCATTCTCTTATTTGTTCTCTCAGTGTTGTGCTCCTCCACTGGGAAACAGCACTCTGGGGCTAGGTTGAGTCCACTCTGCTACTCAACTGTCCACAAAGGTCTGCAACTGCTACATGTTGCAGGCAGCACCTGGGCATGCAAATCCGCTTACATCTTAGAATGCCTTGCCCAATGTTTCCCAATGAGGGGCTGCCTCTGCTGGGGGAATATCAGATGGCAGGGAACCAAAATGGCTCTCTGACGGCCAGGAAAACTACCTGCCAAATTAGCCAATGGCCATGTCAGACCTCTTACATCTGGAATCAATAAAGTTGTGGCCTTGAGTCTTGACTGGTTTCTGTACTGGGTCAGGTTGGCAGGGTTGCAGCACCTGGGCACACAACAGCTACTTGCAACAGGTTAGTGGCAAGTTGTATGAATGGAGTCAGGACTGTCCCATTGACTCAAACCACCAAGCAAGCAATGATACTTGTATCTTTCATTTTCCATCTTCAAAGGACTCCAGAGGTCCTGTTGAAGAAAACTAGGTGGTAAAGAAAAATATCCTGCAATTTTCCTTCTCCAATTTTACAGTGGTTCACCTTAGTAAAGGAGCTCTCATAAATCTTCAATCAAAAGGTTCTTACAAATTTTTCTGGACAAGGGAAGTCGAACAGCTTGACCATGCCAAAGTCATCGCCTGTTACAAGGCTGATTCCCGAGTGAGAAACACAGGCACAATTTACATCGGCTTTCTCAGCATGCCTGGACCAGATTCCAACAACTTCATCTCCTAAAATGCTGAAGCAAAAGGTAGGAAATGGAGCCATTTAAAGAAATACATTTTGAGGATTGATGTAATTTTATTTACTTATTTAAAGTGTTTACATAGATCATTTATTCTATTAAGAGTACAGGATGGTGCACAGCAATTATGTCACAGCACAAATAGTGTCAGAAAAACTACTTATACATCCATAAAACAGGAATTGCATAAATTTGGGCAGGAAATGATGTGGCATATTTTAAGAAAGCTTCAGTATGTCTGGATTTACCTGGTCCAACTGGCCCATGTTATTCTATCAATCACAGTTTGATCCAAGAGCTGTTTTCCTGAAGGCACTTCATAAACTTGCCTTTTGTAAGACCCAGTAGAGACCTATAAGAATTAGTATACAGTGATACAATTGCAGATATTCTGATGATATTTTTGTTTTGAAATACTTTTCTGCTAAGGAACAAATAGGTCAACATATTAAGAGATACTAATCAATATAATTTTCAAAATCAACAGTAAAACTGTTGGTGTATGTACCTGGTCCTATGCTATCCTGTCAATCATCCTATTCTTATTTGGATTTGGTTTTCGCTTGAGCCTTGTCATGGTAACAATACTTAACAGAGTATTCTAGGAATATAAAAAGTAGCTCATTTCTACAACACAACACAAAAGCTGAATTGTCTTTAAACTGGTTCAGACATAATGACAGCTTCTAAGTGAATAACTTGGAGCCACTATCAAGCTTACAGTGGAACCATTCATGAGAACCAGCACCTTTGCATGGAGGTTGCAAATGTGGGTGCTGGCTATTGGCATGATAACAATGGCTTGAAAAGGGTTCACAAATTACACAGATCCTGGTGGCCTGGTAGACACATAGAGGCACTGGTGCTCACAAACAGAAGCTTTGCTTAACTGCGCTTCTATGTTGCAAGCCCGTTTGCAGCACTGTGCCTTCCCAATGTGCTCTTCGTTATGTCTGAGCCTGTGTAACACATGAAACAAATAGGAGTTTTTAATTTCCTGGACATAAACTAACCATCGGTTCCAAGATGTATTTCTACTTACATGTGAGAGATGATAAACAGAGTAAGATATTGAAAATAGTTGTTATTATTATTAATTAAATATTATACTGCCCTTCATCCAAAGATCACAGGGAAGTTTACAATATAAAAACACAAAAAGACATACCATAGTAACAAACAAAAGCAATACCCCCCAGTTTAAAAGGGCATGTTTATGAAACAAGTTTAAATTAATAAAAAAATAAAAAGCTCCCAGTTATATTTACCTGAAGATAACAGCTATCTGCTGAAAAATCCATTTGAATTACAAAACTAGGAATGTCTTTGCAGTAGCTAGCTCGTTAAGAGCAGGCCCCAATGTCAGGTCATAAAAATCCACTGCATTTTCACTGGAACCCACTGCTAAGTAATGAGAATCTGGACTGAACCTATGTAGAATAAACAGGTTAATGAGTTAAATGACATTGTATTAAATTCCAAACAAAGTGCTTGATTAACCTGGAGGTAGGCTGTATGAAACTCTGTAAATCTCAAAATATTATTTTTTTTCATTTACTTTTTATGCCAGATATTTTGTAAAATGATTGTGGTATAAAATGGAGCAAAGATTTAAAGCATATGCTATATAAATATGAAATAAAAGACATTTCAATGCTGCAGTTCTACATACATTTATCTTGGAGGAAGCCTCACTGAACACAGTGAGATTTATTTCTAAGTAACAATGTCATCAGATCATGCCTTTTTCATAGTATATATCAAGTGGAGTATTTCCCCCCCTTTAATCACTAACTGAACCTCTCCAAATCAAACTTGGTCATTTCTTAACGATTTTCTCTGCCACAAAATGGTTTTATTCCATTTCAAACATTTTCTCCACGTCAAATAGCATCCTTTTCTCTACATGTTATGCTATTCCTGTCTAGTTCTCTGTTCATCTGTACATAGGATGGTATTCAACTACATGTTTACTCATTTAGTCATGTTCATTAATTTCAGTGAGTCTACTCTGAATAAACCTTAGTTAAACAGCACCTCAAGTATGGACTCCACAAATACCACCACTGAAACTGTCAGTAATTTATGTTCTTGAAAACCTTGGGGTTTCACTAGGGCTTTGCAAAATCTGCATATATTTTTTTAAAAAATTCTCTTTCTGGCTTGCACATGCACCCAGCGGTTAGCAGCACAGCACAGCATGGCTGAGCTGGCTTCGCACCCGTCGCTGCCTATTACCATGAGGGGGAGTGGCAAAGCAGTGGGGAGCTCAGTGCAGTGGGCATGAAGCGGCAGAGCCAATCCAAGGCTCCTGCCACTGACTGGCAGAGATGTGCAGCATCGGGAAGCCAGGTCAGCAACGCAGACCCACCCCACCCCACTGGCTGCTACTGGTTGTGTGTCTTAAAGGGGCCTAAATCACTCTGTTCCCTTCAAAAAATGGTGACAGGCAGTAATGTGCACACAGTACATAATTAAGCTATGAATTCACTCCCACAAGTTGTTGTGATTGCCACCAGTTTGGATGGCCTTAAAAAGCAGTTTAGACAAATTCATGGAGGATAAGGCTATCAATAACTAGATCATGATGGTTGTGGGCTGTGAACTTCCAGTATCATAGAATCATAGAATTGGAAGGGACCATAAAAGTCATATAGTGCAACCCCCTGCAATACAGGAATGACCCATGACCCTGAGATTAATAGTTATTTGCTGGGGACATGACTGGACAGAGTGTTGTCACATTCATGTCTTCTTGCTGTCGCATTCATGTCCTTGTGGACGTCCCATATGTACCTGGTTGGCCACTGTGGGGAGTGATTGCTGGCATGAATGGGACTTTGGTCTAATCTAGCAGGGATACTCCTATGTTCTTAATGCTGCCTCCTCATGCATGCACATCCACCATATCCAACAAGATGCGGATATAATTTTTAGAGAATCCAGAACCACAGCAGGTAAGGGAACATGATATCTCACCTGATGTCCTGAATGGCTGATCTTCTGTCCCTTTTCTTCCCCCATATTTTCAGAGAGTTCACTAACAAGATAATAAATTCTCCATTTTTCATGCCAATAGCCACCATGTCGCCCTCTGGACTATAAGACACAGTGCGTGCTGCGTGGCCCAAATTTACTTTGTTCACCATCTTCTGTGAGAATTGGGTTTTAAAAGGAAGCACAATTAAATGTTTCCATTTATGTACAATGAATATAGCATAGCAAGAATATGTCATGATTTATTTTTAGATCTTACGTTTACTTAAATACATTTAAAAGAAAATATGTACAAGTTTTCTCAGTGGATTTATTTTTCTAAACAATTACGGTATATAGTCTTACTGTAATTTTTATACCTACTTTATCAGCAATATCCCAGAGTCTGACTGTCCCATCTTCTGCAGCAGAAAGGAAAACATCACGAGAAGGGTGTGTTGCTAGTCCCCAGATAGGCCCATCCATGTGGCCATTAATTAGAATGTTACACGCAGCATTTTTTTCTCCAACTTCTATTATTTCCGCATTCTTTGTCCCAACAAGAATTTTCCCCTGGAACAATGTTCAGTTAATGAAAACTATTTTTAAAAATAGCATCTGTTGATGAGGGGTAACATGAATATATGCATAGTAACTTAGAAATCATGAACATATTTTCACAAAAGGAATTGTTGAAATCATGAAAGTATTAAATACTAGGGGGGCAGGATCCTTGCTCATTCTGATTGCCAACCTCCTGCTATTTCCCCCATGTTAACCATGAGCTTCCCTTGCAACTACTAAGCTCCCTTTTCACCTTTCCAGTCCTATTTCTGAAGCCTCTTGTACTCCTTTTTTCACCTTCATACTCATTTCCATGCCTCTTCCTCCCTCCTTGTTTTTCACACCCCTTTGCACTGCCTGGTTTTCACCTCTACCTCCTTATCCCCCTTCTCCCATCTTTTTTCAAGCGTCCCTTGCACACAGACCATCTCCACTTCCATGCCTCCTCCTTCTCTCTTCTATTTTGCAGCCCACCTCCCTTTGCACACACACTCTCATTTTAAACATTGGGAAAGATTTGAGTAGAGCAAGAAGGAAATTGGGAAAGACTGTGCTGTACCCATGTTAGCTTTTTGGTGCTAGCTTGTGCTTCTGTGTTGTAGACACATTCGTTCTTTCTGCTTGTTAAAACTTAAAGAACAAAAAGATAACCCTCAGTGTTGCTCCCTTTCCAATCTAATTAGATCTCTCACATTGCTTTAAACCACCACTTTTTCTCTTTCAGTGTTCCTCCATCCCCTCTTTGCTCAAACCTCTCCTGTTGTGAAAACTGCCACTTTTCTGCTCTCGGTGTTCCTCTTTTCTTTCTCTCCCGTCCTCAGTACTTTCATGCAGCAGAGAGGATCTCAATATTGCCCAAGTCAAGAAACATCAGCGAAAGGTACAACAATGAAACTAAATACCAAAAATGCCAACATGCGTATATGCTTCCTCAACATGTTGTGAAGGTCACCAATCTGAATGGCTTTAAATGGGGATTAGACAGAATTCATGGAGTAGTTACATGGAGTAGCTACTAATCCTGATGGCTATATGCTACCTCCACAGTCAGAACACTGGACTACATAAGCCTTTTGTCAAACAGGCTCTTCTTATATTTGAATAGGATTTTAACAGCTAAGATTGAGAGTATACATGTTGTGATGGTTAGAAACAAACAGAAAAGATAGGTTGCTGACAAATAAGCAAAGATGATCTAAAACCAATATGAATCAACATGACAGATGTTGTCATCTCTTTAAGGAGACCACCACTTACTTTGCCTCTGCACACAGAGCGAACACAGTCAATTATCTGTCCTGTCTCTAATCTGAAGGCACGACACCGCCTTAGCTCCTGATCCCATAGTTTAACTGCTCCACCTTCTTTTGATCTAGTGAAAATAAAGAAAGAAACCTTATAGAAAGAATAGATAAAATCACTCAGTGTAAAATGCATGTGTTCAAATCCCATATTCCATTCATTCAATGGATATCACAGCTGAGATTCACAAATGAATAATTAAAACCACTATTTTAAAATATACAATATTATGTCAGTTTTGCTATCCACAAACTATTTTGCAATGGTTTTAGCTTACTTAAGAGTATGTAATTTTTAGATTTCCACATTTGTCATAGTTGTTAAGCACATGTTTACTATTTTGTAGAAGCTTCTGTTATTTTAACTATTTCATGTCACATTGTAGTTAAGGCTAATATGCTAGCCAGTGAGAGCGTGAGTGCTCAACTTTTCACTTCCTTGACTTGGGTATTCATTCCCCTAATCTTAGACATAATCTAGTACATGCTTAACTCTTTCCTATGTAAGAGAAAATGACTGAGGATACACCTTACTTTATAATACATTTTGTTGCAGTAAGAATATAGGAAAACATAAAGAATACAAGATTATTTCTTAAAGTCAGTCACTCACTTTGAAATGATTATTTTTCTGAAAGGCTTATTAGTATTAAACTAAAGAAGATTGAGTCTAGCAGCAAACCATGCAATACTAGTGGGAAACAGGTGAAATAATTGAATTTAGTTTCCTGTTTTACTCATTGTAAATAATTAGGTAGGGAATTTTTCTAACATTTAACAAGAGTTGCCATCGTTGCTGTGTCAGTAAAAGTCACTACTTGCTCTGCTACAGCTAATAGAGATAAATAGGTTTAGGCTGTCAATTTACTTATGTACAAATAATGAATTGTATATACTTAAAAGTAGAACTACCACAGTGTAATTTACTTCAACACATTTAGGCATTCATTAATATATTTGTAAAATGTATCTGTAAGAAAACCAGACTCACGGCCTCTCCTTGCCTCCTGTTACAATTAAGCCATCTCGTAGTGTTGTGTACATTGCAAATATAGGCCCATTGTGAGCTTTGCCTACAATTCGATTCAGTATATGTTCTTTCCAAACACACACATCTCCACTGATTGTACCTGTAAATGTCAAATTATTCTGAAAAGGAGGGAGGGAATGTGTTCATCACATGATTTCAAAAGGGGAAAATGCATATATTTATAATGAAACTACAGGTGGTGCAGAGGACAGTGGACAGAGTACTAACTGTGGCTAACTGCTACATGCATTTTATACCAGTTCAAAATATCTTCAGAAAAATGATTTATGTTTTCAGTTCAAAATATTTATTTTACGGTTTCAATACTTTAATGGCCTGGAATCAAAGCACTACCTTCTCCCATATGAACTTGCCTGCCAATTAAGACTGTCCTCGATGGCCCTTGTCCAGGTTTTACCATTCTCAAAGCCAGGTGAAATGTCATTTTCTCTGGTAGTATCAATATGGAACTCCCTCCCCAGAAAGATTTGCCTTGCACCTTCTTAACAGTGTTTTTAGGTGTCAGGAGAAGTCTGTCCTGTTCTGCTGTACTTCAGTGGCTTTCTAATGGTATTGGAGATTTTCTCGTAAATTGAGTCCTCCTCACAGAGGGCACGTGTTGCAGTGAGATCAGGACTGACCTCACTGTTTGTGTGGGTGGGAGCGATTGGATAGCCACAACAACCCTGACTGGTGGTCCCTTGGTTGCTGGGGAAATCTTTCCAACGGGGAATTTTGTGTATTAACTGAGGGACCTTTATATACCACTGTATGTTGCGTAAAGCTTCCTCTTTTCACTTTGTGCACCGGATCACCCGCCCACCCTCCCTATATTTAGGGTCTTGCTATGACCTTGCTATGCTGTCGTGTGTCGTCTGTTTTGGGACAGGGGCCCGGTAGGAATTTCCCCATTTGGCTGATTGGCTTGTGTCACTTGGGCTTTGCCTGCCGTGTAGCAAATTATCACAACTTTGTAAGGTTTGGCAGTTAGGCATTGGTTCAAGGTGGTCTGGAGGGGGATTGGAGCACCTGTCCCCTCCAATGCGCAAAGGTATTCCATTAAAGGAATCCAGAGACTCAGCATGTTTTTGTTGACCCCTTTCGGGGGGTAGGGCCACACAAGAGTCCCTGGGAGCATTTGGGGTGAGCTTGAGTCTGATTCTGGACCAATGCTCCCCCATGATATTTACCTGTACTGATAATATGGTTGGGGCCCAGTCATCAGTGCTGCCCTGCTACGGTCAGGTGCAGCTAGTCGGGAACCAATGCCTAAACAAACCCCTCACTACCTGTAATCAATAAAGTTGTGGCCAAAATTATGCCAATAACCTGAAAACTAAATTCCGTGTCAATTGTGTCTTTATTTATTGGGAACCTCCTGGGGATCTTAACACACAATTACCTGTTACCTTAACACGCAATTATTCTGTTTTTTATGTGAGTTTTATGCTGGTTCTGATTAGATTTTATTGTATCTGTATTTAAAACTGCCTTAGACTATTTTGGCAAGATTCAAACATCATTTAATAAACAAACAAACAAACAAACAAACAAACAATGTTCTGAGTTTATAATATAGTGGAAAAAATGTTCAGATCTGGTACTCAACTGAGGTTTCAATCATATTCTAGTGAATTATGGATGCAGCACAATATTGGTAACTGCTCATAAAACATTCACTCCAGAACTAGCCTTTATCAGAGAAGTCTGAATCACTACTAGAACCTTCCTCAATACCCTCAAATGTTGTTAAAAATATTTTTCTAAATAAATTCAGTTTTTCTAAATATACAAAATATCTGCATTGGAAGGCGAAGTGTTTAAATACTATTCAACGGCTTCCAAAATCTATAATGCAACTTATGTTTGAGCTGCTTAGTCTTTAAAGTAGTAAAGGCAGTCATAGTTTAATGAATGTCTCGTACACCCCAGGTAGTATGGATGTCTCGTACACCCCAGGTAGTATGGTTGCTGACCTTGAGCCAGACATCCTGGAGAGTGAAGTCAAATGGGCCTTAGAAAGCACTGCAAATAACAAGGCCAGTGGAAGTGATGGTATTCCAGCTGAACTATTTAAAATTTTAAAAGATGATGCTGTTAAGGTGCTACACTCAATATGCCAGCAAATTTGGAAAACTCAGCAGTGGCCAGAAGATTGGAGAAGATCAGTCTACATCCCAGTCCCAAAGAAGGGTAGTGCCAAAGAATGCTCCAACTACCGCACAATTGCACTCATTTCACATGCTAGCAAGGTTATGCTTAAAATTCTACAAGGAAGGCTTAAGCAGTATGTGGATCGAGAACTCCCAGAAGTGCAAGCTGGATTTAGAAGAGGCAGAGGAACCAGAGACCAAATTGCAAACATGCGCTGGATTATGGAGAAAGCTAGAGAGTTCCAGAAAGACATCTACTTCTGCTTCATTGACTATGCAAAAGCCTTTGACTGTGTCGACCACAGCAAACTATGGCAAGTTCTTAAAGAAATGGGAGTGCCTGATCACCTCATCTGTCTCCTGAGAAATCTCTATGTGGGACAAGAAGCTACAGTTAGAACTGGATATGGAACAACTGATTGGTTCAAAATTGGGAAAGGAGTACGACAAGGCTGTATTTTGTCTCCCTGCTTATTTAATTTATATGCAGAATACATCATGCGAAAGGCTGGGCTGGATGAATCCCAAGCTGGAATTAAGATTGCCGGAAGAAATATCAACAACCTCAGATATGCAGATGACACAACCTTGATGGCAGAAAGTGAGGAGGAATTAAAGAACCTTTTAATGAGGGTGAAAGAGGAGAGCGCAAAATATGGTCTGAAGCTCAACATCAAAAAAACGAAGATCATGGCCACTGGTCCCATCACCTCCTGGCAAATAGAAGGGGAAGAAATGGAGGCAGTGAGAGATTTTACTTTCTTGGGCTCCATGATCACTGCAGATGGTGACAGCAGCCACGAAATTAAAAGACGCCTCCTTCTTGGGAGAAGGGCAATGACAGGCCTAGACAGCATCTTGAGAAGTAGAGACGTCACCTTGCCAACAAAGGTCCGTATAGTTAAAGCCATGGTTTTCCCAGTAGTGATGTATGGAAGTGAGAGCTGGACCATAAAGAAGGCTGATCGCCGAAGAATTGATGCTTTTGAATTATGGTGCTGGAGAAGACTCTTGAGAGTCCCATGGACTGCAAGAAGATCAAACGCATCCATTCTGAAGGAAATCAGCCCTGAGTGCTCACTGGAAGGACAGATCGTGAAGTTGAGGCTCCAGTACTTTGGCCACCTCATGAGAAGAGAAGACTCCCTGGAGAAGACACTGATGCTGGGAAAGATGGAGGGCACAAGGAGAAGGGGGCGACAGAGGACGAGATGGTTGGATAGTGTTTTCGAGGTTACCAGCATGAGTCTGACCAAACTGCGGGAAGTAGTGGAGGACAGAGGTGCCTGGCGTGCTCTGGTCCATGGGGTCACGAAGAGTCGGACACGACTAAACGACTAAACAACAACAACAACAGTTTAATGAAAACATGGAAACATCAACAGTAAAAGGAGTAATGTAGTAAAGAGCATGTTTATTTACTTACAGCTCCAAATGCTACAGACAGCATAGTCTGCATTCGTGCATCTTCTATTGAACTTGTTTGTCCTTTTTTACTTAGAAGTGCTCTTCCAGCAAGTGTCCAGAACCTCACATGTTTTACTCCTACTGAAACAAATTGTGTGTCGGAGTCAGGCCTGAATTCTGCTACAAAAATACGCTGATTATGACCAGCTCTACTAGCGATTTTGGCACCTAATAGGAAGAATTAATTGTAATTTAAAGTCACATATACACAATTGTATTGTACCAATAAGTAGTGATTAATGAACAAGATAAATGTGTTTTAGACAAACAAAATACCTTCCTACCTTCCTGCCATTTCCAAATGGTAATGGTATGTTCAGGATCCAGCCCTACAGACAGAAGAAGCTTGCCAGTGGCACTAAAACTGACTGAACAAACGCCTTTTGAATGGTAGCATCGCAACACAGACAATGTCTGCTTATTCATTGCATCCCATACGTGAATACAAGGTGCTGTAGCTGTACAAATATAAGAAGATCAGTAAATTATTTTGTTGGTTAAAGCTTATATGATTTGTAGCACTTAAATAATTCAACTAACTTGAATCTTAGTTAAAAGAACAAAACCTGAAATTATAATCTTGCTTTCTGAAGCCAACACTGCAAAAAGTGCTCATTTGGGAAAGTATTACCCAAATCTAGAAAAGATACATCTAACAGCAGAACCTTCTTCTTAAGTCTCATTCAGTTCCCCCTTAACACAAGAACAAAAAACTGAATTTTAAATTATCTATATAAAGTTATACATACCCTTACATTTGTTTAATGACAAGGGAACAAAGCATGAATACAGACTGCAGTTCACAAGTTTACAATTTAGACAGCAATCCTAAGTGCACTTACTAGAGAGTAAGCCCCACAGAATTCAATAGGACTTACTTCCGAGACGACAGAGTGAGGCCTGTACTGTTAATAAATTTTTTTTAAAAATAAACTTCTCACTGGTCTTTAGATATGGGCCATCCTGAACTTATTAAACTATTTATGAAATAGGAATCTTGGTCTAAGGTTCTGGTCCTGAATGTGCTCTGCTGGCAGGACCTCCATGCACATTGAATTTGCTTGTAATACATTGTATGAATGCCAGGTAGGAACCCAACAAGTCATTTGTGCAATAAAGTAAAGAAATCTATATATGGTACAGGGGCATTCATGGGTGGTAAGAGTCTATAGAAGACTGAAATATATGAGGGAAATATGTTTTCCATTGCATTTTTCAGCACTACATAATCCCAGGCCACACTCTGCCAGTTCTGAAATGTGCTCGATGCTGTTTTGGAATGTGACAATGGTCAACAAGGACCACAGTGGAAATCTAAAAGGCTGGGCTTCTATCCTCATCACGTGTCCTAGGAGGAACATACTATGCTGAGACGTAATATCTGATTGTGCACTATAGGCTACCCAAGTGGCACAAGACATTATAATCAAGGGAATCACATAGATAAGAGTTCAGAAACAACAACAACTGCTCTACATAGGCAAGCATGTGCATTATCCTTTTCTGTCAGCTGTTTGATACACAACTATGTAATATGACTACCTATTCATGCAAGATGAAAACAACTATACAAGATCACAGCTGAGACTATGACTTTCAAAGGAACATAATGATATTTCACAAAATGGATTTGATAGCACTGATAAGCATTCTGGATGGCTGGTAAAAACTGCATGACAATACAGTAAATGAGAAAGATGATTTCTTTATTAACTCAGTCACCAAGGCCTCTTGAGTGAATAGCTAAACAAAATAATATTTATAACAGAAACATTTGTTGTCAGCCCCAATGATTTTCCAGAAACTGAATTAATTAAAAGTTATATAAAATAAGAAAATAGGTTATAAAATGTTTTATCACTTATCAAAACACTGGGGTGGTTGTGGTGGGTATAATACAACAAACTTTAGAATGTGTTAAAATTATTCTTTGACTTCATCTAAAGGAAATCTTGCATATTTATATCTTGTTGAATTTTGTGTTTAGTGCTAATGTTGTAGCGTTTGATATCATGGAAATATATTCAGTTAACCTACCTACAGTACTGTTCGTAATGTCAAAAAAACCTAGTTATACCTGAAGGTGTTAAAATTTAGTTTCCCTTACCTGACATATCTGCTGTGTCTCCTGTAATGGAAAAGCAGCAGAAAAATAATTACAACCAGAATGAAAATGATAACTAAAATATATGTGGTATAAAGTACAAGGTTTGGTTTCAGAATTGTTGTCTAACAATATGAACTCTGTGGCAGGTATATTAAACGGGAACTTACTATCCATATATAGTTAGTTGTTATTGCTTCCACTAACAGAATATACAGAGTGGCATGGAGATGCCTTTTCTTGAACAATGTTTAGTTAGAAATTAAACAAACTTGAGTGATGTTGAATTCTCAGTTGCATGGAGAGCAAAACTGTTTGGTTAGAGATGGTTTAAAATAATCTTTCTTTCAACAGTTGTGAAAAAATAGCAGAGGGCTATGTGTAATGCCATGGTTTCACATTACACGAGTGAGCCTTGGACTCATCTACTTTCTTTTCCTTATCCCTCTTTCCCCTTCTGCATTAAGATTCAGTTAGTAATTTCTTATTTAAAATAGGTCACAGTTTGCAGAATGGTGGTTTACATTTGCCCACTAATCCAGAATTGGTAAGCACAGTTTTTCATTCAGACATGATGGCAAATTCTTTGTGCTAAATAGGAAGTACCGGTAAGTAATCAAACCTGAGCCTGCGAAGGCTGGAGACAGGGGGAGGAATAATACAAGTCCACAGCACATTCCTGATCCTCCAATCCATGTTTTGTTAGATCTTAACCAACTCAATGTGTTTGTAAAAAGTATCAACATCCAAAAATGTAATAGATCTAGCAATGATCACTGTCATAATTGCCACTCTTAACATATTTTCTGTGATATTAAGTTCATAGTTCAGATCCAGATTCTATATGTGTTCTTGAATGCAGAAGGAGATCTCAAAGATGCAGGTTCAACACTCATTTAAATGAAACGAGCAGATCTATTTGTCCATTCTTTTAAAGAAGCCTCCCTCTCTCGAATGAGAAGTATAGGGAATTCTGTGCATACACTGGTGCACCTAGTCTCAGAATCAATTGCTGGATCATGCCATCTACCTTAAACTTGTCATTTAAACCATATCATGTTTGGATTTGAGAATCTTCCAGACTGCAGTTCAAAATTCCATCTGTTCTGGCTAAATACCTTGTGTTCTGGTACATATTTAGCATCATTTTAAATCAAATTGCAGAAATACTTTCCTACCCCAAATTATATGATTAGCTTTTGGCAATGGTTTTTGTACAAAAGGGACCACTTTCATCCCTGCACAACTTTAATCAACCCATTTGACAATTTGTTCTGATTACTGTGCGCTGGATTGTTTATGATCACTGCTTTTCAATTAGTGCACTTTTGATTTTGATTTTGTTACATATTTTGAAAACTCAATCTTTTTATATTATCTCTGCTTCAAAAGTGTACTGCATATTTTCCTCTTCGTTTCTCCTAAATAAGTGACTGATCATCAATGTCTATTGAAAACAGTATAATGCTGTAACAGGCAATACTTTATCACATAGCTGCACTGGGTGCATGGTAGAAAAAAACAAAAAAATCCAGCCCTTAGCACTTGGCAGGATGTTACAGAGGACCAAGTTATCCTAGGGTGGCAGAGTTTGCGGGATTGTTTACTAGTCTACATGGGCTCAGTATTGATGTGAAGGTACAACCTACACTGCTATAGCTTCTCAGTCTTCACAGAAGATATTGTGGAGTTTGTACACAATGCATCTATCTACAAAGCGCACAGACCTGCTTGCACCCCTAGGGGGTCCCTGCATTCCTTCGTCCATCTCACAGCAATGGGCATTTTGCTCTGTGTATGTTGGACATGATAGTGTACATTGTGGCAGGTGTGGAATCAAAAAAGAAAATGTTTTGTGATTAAATGGGGCTCAATAGCTTTAAAAAATCATTTTGATAAATCTGCAATAAAATATAGCATTAGCATCCTTAAGCATCAATGTGTTTTAAAAATAATTTTCAGGATTACAAGAAAAATATAATTGGCACAGGTAACTGAGTAACATTCATACAAACAGAAGCAGCATAAGCAAATGCTTTCTTCTATCTATGAATTCACATGACTAACTGTTCATGCATATATATTAATTTCTTTTTTAAAAAATACAAACATACCTACTTGGCCAGTTGCCACAAGGTTGATAAACTTGGGGTGCTGATTTATAGTGAGGCACAAAATATCATCATTATGTTCCTGGTAAAAAGACTGAGAGCCTACAGAGACAAATGCGTTATATTATTTAAAGTATAAATATCACATCTATGAGGGGAAAAGAAAACGAGAGAGAAAATAAAAACACTGTATCAATGCCAGATGGAATCTACTGTATATGTTTCCTACCTGTTGCCACATTGTACAGAATTCCAACAGATGCAGTATGATAAATTATGTCAGCACCATCATTCAAATAGTGCACATTGTTCCTGCCATCTCTACCACGATAGCCAAACACCAGCTCCAGCACTAGATCCTAAGAAAACAGATTTATGATCACCACAAACTTCCTTGTGAATAAAAGCTATTTCATGATTTCATCTTTGAACAGCACTGTACAAGCTGTTTAATGCTTTTAAATTTTTTCTTTTAATAGTGTTCCAAAGCATCAATAAAAATCCTATAATTCACCTTAACTCACCACACAGGGAATATTTCGCTAGCAGTATTGACCAGCCCACAAGTTTGCCCCCAAATTCCCCTTTTATTCTGCCAGTCTGTCTGGGCTATTGAAAGATCCCTTTAAATAGTTGCAGAATAAATTATGGTATCACTTATTCTGCCTGTTTGTCCACAAGGCATTTGTTTACAGAAGCTGTTTAATTAAATTTCTATTACACCCCATATAGTTGGTTATAATGAAGTTTAAATGAGAATCCTAATAAGAATAGCAAGTTTTCTTACCTCTATGGGTCTCTTTTTTTGCCAACGTTATTTGTCTGAAGTTTTTCAGGCTGAGGCAATGCCCTACTAACTGGTGGTCTGAAACAAAGAACTGTGAATAAGAAAAGGTTGTCTGTCACCCATTCAGTACTAAAACAGCATCTTCTGAACTGTCGCCTGGGTAGAGAAAGCTGTAAGATACTTTGCTAGGACAGCCTTATGAACAAACCCTGAAAGTTATTACCCTACAAAGAAATGATACCAGTCTGCTGGGGGCAGGCAAAGAAGGGACAGAGAGGTTCATTCCTATACTGATTGAGGAGGAAGAGGCTACCCTCCTCTAGCAGTCCCATTGTTACTATGTTGGGTAAAGTGAAGTCAACAGAGTGCTTCATCCCTCTTTGACCAGCTTAGTTACTCACCTGCATGGGATTCCATTCACTCTTGTGTGTGCAATTCCTAGTCACCAATGGCCACCAGACAGACATGTGCTTAAAAACAAGGCTGTGCTTGTACCATAGGGACCATTTTATAAACAGTTGTTTTATTATGTATATTTTATTACTTCTTTTGATCAATGTTGTATATTTCCACCATGTGGAAAGTAATAATCCAATGGCGCAGTGCACACATGATGGAATACGGTACATGATCTTACAAGTCATGGCTCTTAATGAACACACCCATCCATCTCCTTGTATTGTGCAAGAACACAAACCATGAGATTCACATGAAATGCTAAGCCAACACTGGTTTGTTTCCTACACTTGTTCACAGCAAACTATCTTTTCTGAAGGCAGCCCTGTTTAGGGAACCTTCTACTGTTTGATTCATTACTGTATTTTATGTTCGATGCATTACTGTATTTTAATATTTTGTTGGAAGCCACCCAGAGTGGCTGGGGAAGCCCAATCAGATGGGTGGGGTATAAATAATAAATTATTATTATTATTAGCAGTTATTAGCTTTCTGTTGCTTTATAGCATTCATAGTTCCTCTGTTCCTAATCCCCTCATTGTTGTTCTACTATCTGGTCAGTACAGTTTTTATTGTATGCATGCACACCATACATTCATAATACATTTAAAGCACTTGGCAAACCACAAAGAATCCTAGGAACTGTAATTTATCCCTCACAGAGGTATAGTTTCCAGCACCTATAAAAAAAAACTAGTTCCCAATATTCTTTGTTTTAAATGTGCTTTAAATGTATGGTGTATATGCAACATGAAATAAATAAATAAATAAATAAATAAATAAATAAATAAATAAATATTTGTACCCCGCCTGTTTGACTGGGTTGCCCCAGCCACCCAAAGACATCAAGGGCCCAACCAGAAAATCATGATTGTTGTATTTTATAATACATACTTTAATGTTCAATACCATCAAATTTTAAAACATTGCATGACATGCACTTTCCATTACTTTAATGACAAAAGCAAAGAATGAAGACAATTTGACAAGCACAGGTTGGTGATGTAATGCAGACCACTGATAAAGATCTCCAGTCTTACTGCACTACCTCTGAGACTGATGGCAGTGTATGTGGTAGAGCAATATGAAGGGGGCTGGACTCAGAGGACAAGGCATGGGCTTTGAGTGAAAGGATGGGGTTTTGTATGCTATTACTAGGCTCCTGATAATGGAGCAGAGATCTTGGAGACCCCTCTGATCCCGGCTAAACATAAATGATATGATGACATGGCACAGGCAGTGAACATACTGTATATAACAGAGGGCTAAAAAGCACAATGTTGTGGAAGCCACAGCAGAATAAGTAATGTCAGCTAAGTTTGTGAAATGAAATCAGTTTCCAAAATAAGTACCTTTCCTGTGCTCAGGGTTGGTATAAAGTACAAGTTAGTAATTCCTATACTTAAATTGATTCCCACTCCCCTTCTTCCTTCAATACTTAGGAATGGTAGTGGAAGTAAATAAGAGTTAAGCCTCCAAAACTGCATAACCATATGGCAACCCCTCCTGTTATGGCTAGCTGTAGATTTGTTCTCTAAAGTGTACTAGAGTTCTAAGAAACTAGATGAACCAATTCACATAATTAAAACATTTCTAAAATGATGCTAAATCTAAAGTTACACAAATGAGGCTGCAGGTACAAACACATGTTTTATTTGGATATTGCAGAATTGATCAAGGAAGCCGTATTGAACAAGAAAATCAGTAACCCCTCACAAACTATAAAAAGTGAATGTTTATGGAAGCATGCCCTACTGTGTTCAGTTGAGGCACACTTCCAGTAACTATGCAATCTTAAATAAGCTATCATCTGAAAAGAGTATACTTTTTAGACCCAAGATTCATAGCTCTTGCTTTGAGAGGGCTTTTTTTAACTACCGTATGTTTTTTCAGAAAGAAGGTTGTGGGGCAGGGGTGCATTGGACTTGCCTTGGGTTGACAGGGTTATCTGCTGGGACTGCTTATCTACCAGTACTTCGGAGGGGGGAGAGGAACAGCTGTGGTCACTGTGGGGAAGGGGAGCAAGAAAAGGGGCTGCTTCTACATTGCGCTCCCCGAACAGCAGGAGGAAGTGGAGGAGGAGGAGGAAGAGGAGGAGGGAGGCCTGTGAGGGAGGCTCCTCATCTCACAGCTTCCTCCTCCTCCGGCAAGTGGCTCTGCGGTGGTGGGGCCTGTAGGGCCTCCAGCCAGGCCTGGGCCTGGAGGCCAATGAGGGGAGGAGAAGAAGAAGGGAGGCCCACCATGACTCTTAACTTTGCAAGGGGGAGAAGCGGGGTCTGCTCAGCCAGCCAGATGCCCATCAGACTGACAGACAGACTGCTCGCCTGCTCTCTTAGTGCGCCCCCTCCCAAAAAATGGACATTTTTCAAAATTAAAAAAATCCACCTCAATGGTGATTTCACCTTTGGAATCCTGGGCATCTCTGGAGAAATCTGGAAGTATGGCAACCGTAGTTAACAGCAACTGTCATACTGGCATAGAGTTGCATTAGGCCCAAAGCTTTGTTTGGGCAATGACACAAACATGACACCCATATGCCGAAAATAACCCACGTGGATAGATATAAGGATGGATCTACACAGATATTTTAAAGAACTATGAAAAAAGACCGCTATAAAAGCTCCTAATGCAATTTACCATTCACTTTGGATTTCAGCTCTACAGCACCGTCTGGTGCCACATTGTTATAAGGCACATATAACGTTATAATTGACCCGTGTAGCTGAGTCCTAAATTTCAGCCAAGTAAATGATACAGCCTCATGCTAAGGAAGGGAAAGGGGTCCCAAACTTACCATTATTTACTTCCCCAAGTTTTTTAAGGTGGTTCCACTTCTACTTAATATATTGGATTTATGCATATAGGTATACTTCATTTGCTAAGAGCTGATTCAAGCTCTGGTGAGGGCATGTGGTATAATCCCAAGCATGCAATCCTCCCACTTCCATGTTGAGGTAGTACAGCCCTCATCCTACACCTTTAAACATACTCTAATAGTTTGGGAAGCATAGATGACAATGAAACAAGTTACCAATTATTCCTTACAGCAGACTCAAGATTTGCCACTGAAACTGAAAATAATAGTGACATCTATCATCCTGATGTCATTTTAAGGTAGCAGCGGCACATGGTTTAAATGAAGAAGTCAAAACTGCTTCCAAAAATGTGCTCTGTGAGAGGAGGAATAACAGCTTCGGGACAGAAATAAGCGCCCATGTCAGTGAGGTAGACACAGAAAGACAATGTAAGAGAACAGAAAAGCAGAAGATTCACCAAAGCAGTGAGTGAGGTTCTGAAAAGCAGCAGATGATGGAGTAAACAGGTCCTAACAGATACCTCAGTACATGAAGGAAATAGTACTAATATCTCTTTAAAGAGCGTAGTGCTAAATAGGTAACAAACCTATAGACAAAGAGAACATCCTGCATGTTTTTGTTTAGCCAGCTACTAAATAAGGCTTCTCTCTAAATATGTTATGCTGTGAAAGTAAAATAGGTGGGAATAACCATGCACTCCATCTTGAGCTGGGATATGAATGTGCTAATAAACAAAATAATAACTAGATTCATAGGGGAAATTTCTATGGAAGCATACCATATGAAAAGGTCCTTAAGGTTTTCTTGAACTTGTAATTCTACTTCAGGGTGAATAGAAGTGTTTACATTTGCAGAGTTCTATATATGTACAGAAAGTAGCATGACAGCAAGATGTTGAAGGCTGGTAGGAAAATGTATATGTGTATTAGGGACACCAAAATGACAAGACAACTTTGCGTGGAAATGGAAGATGGTGCTGAAATATGAAAAAGACATTAGCAAAGTAAAAGCATTACCTGGAACCTCTTTTCAGCAGCAGAAGGAAGAGATAATGATTACTTATTCCAGTTTGGTTTAATGATGAATTGGTAAAAAGTGTGTTTTAAGATAAGAAAACCAAGCATCTAAAATTATTTTATAGCAGAAAAGATATTATGTAGAATTGTGTTGAACTGATCCTCTGGCAATATCCAAGTGTAAGAAATTTTATTTTGTGGTTGTGTTTTTTGTTTACAAAGGTAATATTTACAGGTATAAGATGGAGAGGGATTTTAAAAAAAATGTTGAGACATGATTTGCAAGAGAGGAGTAGTTTGGCAGCATAAAGAAAAGGAATAGGAAAGTGAAGGAGTATTGAGAGAGGAAAAGTCCACAGTGTAAGGAAAATAAGAAGGAATATATTACCTCTTTTGGGGCACAAAAGGGTAAGTTGCTAACTATTTACTCAAGTTCCTCTATTTGGCAAAGAAGGCTCATCAAGCATGCTCCAACACCGCACAATAGAACAGTGATGCAGGAGAAGAACTTTTACAAGCTTTCAGGAAAATGATGTCTAACTTGATATTCCACAGGTTTCATTAAACAAAGGCAATATAATTGCAAATAAGACAGAAAATATTTGCTCATATAGCTTTTTAGTACAGAAAAGGATGGTTTGGAAAACTCATTTTTTCATGCTTCTGCCTGCTTACCAAGTTTCTGGATCAAATTATTGTGGGTATGCCTGGGGTGCTCCTCTAATCATTACACTAGTCACTAATTCTCATATCAAATTCTCATTACTTTTTCATAAGTCTTCACCTGTTAACAATGAGGCAGCTTTGTAATTTTTTCACTCATATATAGCTAATTGCAAGTACCCCAGGCGAAAACCCAAGCAGAAAACTGTACCCAAGACTCACAGGATACAATCACTCCTCCCCCTAGGTTTTGGAGGCTAGAAAAAGGGAAAGCAGAGCTGCACTTGTATCAGACTCAGCACTATCCAACAAAGGGCAGTACAGAGCCACATGCCGGGTTCAAGGCTCTTAGGTTGAAACTGGGAAAAGCAGAACTGCATTCAGAATGACACTGGCAATGGGGAACTGAAGAAGTAGTGGCCATGAAAGTGAGTGGGGCAGGAGGTGTGTGATAATCCTCTAAATAAGTATTTATTTACCAATACATGACAAGGAAATAAATCAAAGTTTTACAACAAAGACAGCAGCCTTTGTTGCTGTCAACCATTAGCAGGAACGGCTTGTACACATTGGTCCATATTCAAATAAATCACAGCAGTAGTGGGAAACACTAGTGCAAGGAGGCTTCCTCCCCCTCTTCTCCACCCCCCCACCAATTCCCCAGAATCAATTCTGGAGGATCAGTAGAACAGCACATATGGGGAGGAGAAGAGACATTGTCCTATCAGGCAAGCAGAAATGCTTGCACTGATGGAACGGCCTCTTTTGAATACAACTTTGAATACAACTCATAATAATGTAACTCTTGTATGAGTAATTTTGACGACTTGCTCCTGAGTCTATTTTCCCCTCTGTATTATATTACTATTTTATAAATCCTTTTCAAACAACTCATAGAAATTCCAAAATACACAGAACAGATATATGATTTGAAAAGAGTTGTTCTGCTTTGTTGTTTATGCTTAGGTATAAATCACAACACTGTATTTGGAGACTGAAAAAAAATCAAATAAGTGCAAACTCATATAGAAATCTGAACATGTAATTCCTCAAGATACCAGCTTTTATCAATAAATTGTCATTGTTCCTTCGCTGCTTTTGTGATGAAAATCACAATACTCTACAAATTTCTATTTGCTCTACACAGAAACTGCAATAGGCACCTACGACAGATTCTTGATTAAAGTCAATAACAGGCAGGGGGGAGTAATTAACCACCTTCCTTCTGTGCCACTATCCTAATGCAGATGGCACATGCACACTTGTTTTTTTAAAAAAGGTTAGAGATATACATTTAACATCTAGTTTGGCTCTAGAATCAGCTCCTTAGACACTGAAGCTAGCAATTGAACTCCAGAATGCTGAAACTAACAGACATTGCTTATAGACACTGCTTATGACAAGTTTCCTGTCTGGTGCTGAGCTAGAAGCTATACCCTTTATGGCACACAGAAGATGTATAAGGTATGTATATTCATGGACACAAAAACTGCCATCAGAAGAATGTATCTTTTCTGTTTTTTATCAGCCTCATTTGATTGCTCTAGAAACTTTCCAATAGCAAAAAGGAAGTACCATATTTTTCCATGTATAAGACTAGGTTTCCCCCCTAAAAAATAATGTCAAAAATTAGGGGGCGTCTTCTACACAGATACATTTTCTTAAATCTGAGTCCCCCCCAAATAGGGGGTGTCTTATACATGGAAGAGTCTTATAGACAGAATAATATGGTATATTCAATGCATCATTGAATTCCCTAGGATTTTGTCTATATATGTATTACTTGACACTTCTGTAGGTTATAAATTTCCAAATCAGATAAAATATACTTTATAGTGAATGTTTTATATATGTAATCAATTTCTTACCTTACAACCCCTTGCCTTCACAGGAAGCATAAAAATTAAGCAGGAATATTAAAATATGAACAATATATATAGAAATCTAGGATAAAAAAAACTGAAATTAATTCAACGGACCAAATATTTGTTAGCCGATTCTAAACTCACATTTCGTACATAGGCATTAATACCCAAGAACAAAATACAGTAAATGCATCAAGTCTAAAGGGCATTTGTGTGTAAAATTCAGTGCGTGTCTCTGTAAAATATTTGTAAGCAGAGAAGTATTCTTTTCCTGGATGTCACTTCTGACTGTTTTCCAAAAGATGGATCTGGCATGCATGTTTGCTTCAGGTCAACCACAGTTCAAAATGTAAAGTGAAAATTTGCCCACAGATATTTAAAGTTGCAGAATTAAACATGCCCACTTAGATGCAAGGACTGAAGGTGCCTCTTGCGTACACTTCTAAAATTATTTGACAATTATTAAAATTATTGTTTAACCCTACCTACTTCTCAAAAATACCTTCCTTTCAAATCTGCAAATGTCTCAGTGCCTGGCTGCCTGCCTGCAGTTCTGTTATACAGGTAACTCGTATCAAGGATTACATTCCGGGGATGGCACATATACACAAAACTGGATATATTTGAACCAGCTTCTTTGAACTGCCCCTGCATGAGCAATATTACCTCCCAAAGCCAGTGCACCCAAATGGGTCTTAGCGCTTGGGGAGGCTCTTGCAAAATTTACAGGGTTGTCCGAGATCTCGCAAGAGCCTCCTAGAGCTCAGTAAGCAAGTTTGAGAGCTTAAAAGCTCTTCCCGCATAGGTAAAACCCTGCACAAAAGAGTTTTTAAGTTATCCTCCTTCAGTGCTTTTAATTTGCATTATTTAAACAATGAACATTGAAATTGCACATGTTAACTGTTGCCTGCATTTGCACAAGATCACAGTGTAGCGGGGAGGAGGGAGTACATCTAGCACTGCATGAGTGTTAGTGCTGTCAGCTTTAATACCACTGATCACCTGATGGTGGTGGCAGTGAGGAAGTATTATTTCATGCACCCTTGTCTCAACAACAGAGGATCAAAGCTATCAATGACTATTTGTTTGCTGCTACTGGTGTTCAGCAGCAGTGTATGTGTGCTATTCACTACTACATGTGAAAATCTTTTACTCTTGGCCAACATTCTTAGTCCATGAAAAGTTAAATGGAAATGTTATCCAATATTCAAGCATAATGGTTCAAAACCAAACAGGGAAAAAATCTCAGCCCCTTTTACGCACACATGCCCCTTAAAATTCTATTACAGTATGCCATAAAATTACACATTTCCTCCCCAAGTTACCTTTCATCAACTGAAGGCTCTTTTAGCTGCAGATGAGGCTTGATTCCAAACATAGGTCTGATGTTGGTTGATAAGGCTTTGATGGTGTAATTAATTTCATTTTCTCTTGTGACATCACTGTCATATCCTAGTAAAATATTTATAACCACAAGAACTATTGGAACTAAGAAGTAGGTGAATTATTTATTAATTTATTCTATTTGTATATAAGTGCACCAGAGACAACAAACAACAGTTAGATAGGATCAAGACCCGCCCTTCAGTAAGTTGAAGGAGTCCTTCAGTTCATGGGAAAGCACTTTGCAGAGCCTGCCCACTGACGAGGCAGGGTGAAGCACCTACCTGCCCCACTGCTTCCTCTGCCAGCAGAATGTCCCCCATCACCAGAGGTAGGCATTCCAGTGCACAGCATTGCCGCTCATCTCCTCCACCCACCCAGGGTACAGAAGACAAGCAGCAACACCTTGAAGAGTCCTCTGGTTCTTGCCGAGTTTGGCAAGGGGGGGGCATCTGGCAACAGTGGAAGGTGGGGGCATGGTGAGAGGTCAGGGAATGGTACATTCCCCTTTCGCCTCAGGTGGCAAAACAGGATGCCACCTGGCACTGAGTGTTTGCAGAAGTAGCTGCAATACTGTGAAAGCTCCTGCTGGTGGAAGTGTTAATTTTTGCCATTCCTTCTCTGCATGCAGCACCTACACAATCTCCTACACTACTGGGGTGTAGGAGTGTGGATTTCTAGTGGGCACAAGAAATCAGAAAATCACCTCCCCCACTTCCATGCGCACAGCTCTGTTAATGGATCTTTGGATCCCAGCCAACATAACATAAAATTACAATAAATATAATTTACTTAGGATTTTTAAACCCATTTAAAACAGTAAACTGGTTTTGCTAAATTATTGCACACATACACACACAAAAAAAAACCCTAGACTTTTGAAACTGACATTCAGATTATGGAAGTTGCATTTATAATGGGAAGAATTAACACTGCTTTATAAGATTGAAGTTATCTTAAAACGGTTACTTACCCCCATCTTCCTCAGAATCTAGATCAGATTCTTCACTGTCACACTGCCTGGTTTCTCGATGGCCCTCCATCTCATGGGTCCACAGCATTAAAGAGGTGTCTCCACCTCCAACACTGACTAATAAACTGTCATCATGAGTCCAGCGAACATTTGTTACATGTGTGCTATGAGCCACATACCTCTTGAACTTCCCATATTTTCCCTGAATATGAAATATACAAAGAATGTAGAACATTTCATTCATTAGCATTTTTAGGCAAGGCTACAAAACATCTAGTGGGTGGTGGGTGGTGCTGTGGGTAAAAGCCTCAGCGCCTAGGGCTTGCCGATCGAAAGGTCGGTGGTTCGAATCCCCGCGGCGGGGTGCGCTCCCGTTGCTCGGTCCCAGCGCCTGCCAACCTAGCAGTTCGAAAGCACCCCCGGGTGCAAGTAGATAAATAGGGACCGCTTACTAGCGGGAAGGTAAACAGTGTTTCCGTGTGCGGCTCTGGCTCGCCAGATGCAGCTTTGTCACGCTGGCCACGTGACCCGGAAGTGTCTCCGGACAGCGCTGGCCCCCGGCTCTTGAGTGAGATGGGCGCACAACCCTAGAGTCTGTCAAGACTGGCCCGTACGGGCAGGGGTACCTTTACCTTTACCTTACAAAACATCTATATATGAGTCAAAGTAACACTGAACAATATACTGGGCAGTAGTGGAGGGCTTGGTGCATCTGTGTCATTTACTTGACCTTCCTTTGGCTGCAATGCTGCTGCATATCAGAATGGAAAAAGACAGTCCAGCATTCCTGTTGGCACTGTTGCAAAACAAACCTGGTATGCAACAGCAGTGCAGCTGAAGGGAGGTCAGCTGAGAGCACAGCCCTTCCTCACTATCCACTACTGCTATCCTACATATCTACATAGCTACTATTATTTCAATCAATATTTGATGATCTCCTTCTACCGGTCAACAATAGAAAGTGTCCTTTCATACTGCATCACGGTGTGGTATGCTGGTTTGACATCATCTGATAGGAAGTGCCTATGGAGGGTGGTGAATACAGCACAAGATATTATGGGCTGTCCCGTGAATCTGCTGGATGAAATAGCAGAAGAACGTTGCCTCAGGAGAGTGAGGAAAATTCTCAGGGATGATTCACACCCTGGCCGGCACTTTCTTGATCTCTTGCCCTTAGGCAGAAGATATAGAAGCATGATTAGTTGCACCAACAGGGTAAAGAACAGCTTCTATCTGTGGGCTGTTAGGTTGCTGAATGAAAAGATAACAACAGGGCAACTGACTTTTGGGTTTGGTGGGTATGCATCAGTAAACGAGGGGAATTAAGATTAAGAGAGCTGAGTGGGGGGTGCTCGTGTAATCTCACTGTATACAAGTTGTACAAGAGACAATAAAGTATTTCAATTATGGCCATACAAAGACAAAGGGAGTGTTTAATTAAAGTATAGAACACACAATTTCTCAGAAACAGAATGGTTTGCCAAATTATCTCCAAATCAGATAAACTCAACAAAAGGAAACAACGACGGGGTAGTTACAGGCTGCAGTATTTGAAACATTAATACCCTTTTTTCAGTACCAGAGTTACTCCGAACTCCAATGAACAACCCTTAACCACTGTCTCAGCTGCTGAGGTGTTATGGAATGTTTATGAACATTCCAGCATATACATGGACGTCTGCTGCGCAAATTAACCAGGCAGAGGGCATTCTCAGCAGTGGCACCCTCCCTGTAGAATGCCCTCCCATCAGATGTCAGGGAGATAAAAAAGTACACAACATTTAGAAAATTTGAAGGCACAGTCTGACACTGCTCCCCGTTGTCTAGCCCTGACTCCTTAAGATTGCTGGAGGCAAACCCAAGGGAAGAAATAGTCATCCACTTTTTTTTCTGTAGCCTTGCCTCCACAACTATGTGTTGCAAAGCCATCTGAGATGTGATGCTAGAGGAATATCATTACTTGGGTTATGAGCTTGCATGGCCTGAGGAAGATGACTAAAGATTTTACTGGAACACCTCATACTTTAAATTCTCCCCCCCCCCCAATTTTTATTTTTATTTTAAACTGTTAGAACAAAAATCCTGGAGCATTATTGGTGGGAAAAGCTGTGCAGTGGAAATGTGGTGTTAGATGTGTGATTTGAGTTGTTGGCATGTGAATGGGGGATTGTGTAGTATGAAGGGATGTCAATCATATTCTTCTTACATTTCTGTCTTTGTCCAGCTAGGAGCTAAGGAGTTCTTACATGAGAGATCTCCCATTTTATTTTCACAACAACTCTGTGAGGTATGTAAGACTCAAAAAGAGTCCTTTGGATACCAGCAGAGAAGGGCTTTAAACCCAGGTGTCTCTAGTTCAAGTCTAGCACACTAGCCTCTGATTTGATAAATACATACATGTTCTAAAATGAATATCTTCTGCCTGAAATAGCCACTAGGAGTGGGGTACTAGAATCAACCAGTGGGCTGGAACCTTAGCTCTATAAACCCCCATGGACCAAGTTTGACAGGTGTATCTATGTATCATCTAGAGTCACAATGATGTCAAGTAAACCATTTTTGCCCATGCAGTTTGAAATCAAACCAACTGGGCAAAAAAACTGTGCATAGTACTTTCCAAGTACCATTTGCTGACTGGCAGTGCCTGCAAAGCCCTTTTCATTCAAGCCCTGTCATCATATATGACACCAGCTGTAGGACAGGTGGGAATGGCACAACTTGAATGTAACAGCCTGGCAGACCAAGTGGAAAGATCTGTTAGACCTAGTTAGGCTGTGGGCCAGAAGTTCCCTACCCAAGGGTTAAACAAAATCAAAATGGTGACAACTAAGGCCTGCTACACAGATGCATGCACATCACTTGAAAATATATCCTATGTTGGACTTCCGATCTCTGCAAGATGGTGAACGGAGCACAGATCTCATTGCTCCAACAGATCAGAGCCCTGCGGAGAGTCAGGGGGAAACGCCAAGGCATACCCCCCAAAAGTCTTGAGAGGGTTCTCAAGATGTCGAGGGGTCCAGCATATTGCAAAGAGCTCTCCCGCAGTTCCCAGACCCCTGCGCCAAAAGGCTCAGGAGAGTGGGGGAAAGAAGCAGGCTTGAGTGCAGTCTTGGCAGCATGCTCCAGCCACCAGCAGAGATTTTCCGTAACCAACATTCAAGGCGAGGGGAACGTAAAAAGATTAACTACTGAAATTAATTAAGCTTAATTCAGCGCCAGACGAAGGATTAAAAAGGAAGTCTATTCTTCGTCTTCTGGGTAATTAAAAAAGTTCAGGTGGAAAACTATTATCTTATTTGATATTTACAGTGTGGGCCTGCAGATGGGAGAATTGAAAGTAATTGAAACCCATTCTTTATTGCTTGACATTGCTACAGGATTTTAAAGCTGGCCATGACTTGGTATTTGTGTATGGAAAAGGGAACGTGGTGCCAGGACTCTGACAACATCTGAAAGTCCTTATGCTGCCCTTCCAAAGCTTTTCCCCAGTTGCGGAGAGGAAAGGTTAAGGCAACTGAAATCTACTCTTCTTGGCTTGTTACTGATACTGGAGTATAAAAGTGGAAACTGGATTTTGAACTGCAGCCATCATTAAAACTGAACTCAGCAGAGGAGATTTGGATTAAGATAATTAAAGTACTCTGTTGGGGGAATATAAGAAAGACTTATCTCAGCTGGAGGGACCTACAGAGCACTGAACTCAGTTTCCTGTATATAAATCGGAATTTTAAGGAGGAAAAAAAAAACTGTCAAGAGAGGTTGACATACCTATTTATAAGGATCTTCAAGTGCTGCAACTCTTCAATCCACCCTGAGACATTTCAGAAAATTGGATACTGAATTTAGTACTCTCTCTCCTGGACAATTAAGTGGTAACTCTTATGGATATATTGTTTGTTTCGGTCTCTTTTTTAAGGTAGACATTTGTTATATATGAATATCAACTTAAAATTTGGTTTTTATGTTAAATTGCATATGTGTATAAAGTAAACGGGTGGAAAGAAGAGGGATAGTGTGAAAGCACAGAAACTGTTACTGTTTACTGGGGACGTACATGGAATGGCCTTGAAACTGATAAGGTGGTGGTGAAAACTGGCTGTTTTGAGAACAACGGAAAGACGAAAATATGATAATGATTAAACGGTCAGAGTTGAGTCTGGACAGAAGGCCCAAGTACAGGATCCAGGGGATAAATCTCAATTTGAATTGGTGAATCTTTTTTCTGAATTGAAAAAAGAATTTATGAAAGAGATGATGGAAATTATGGCTAAAATAACAAATGAGTTTACAACCCAAATGGATCAAAGCATTAAAAGGGTGACAGAACCGATTGAAATAATAGAGTCTTGGACAGGGAGAACTGAGGAAGGGGGTGTTCTTAGGCAAAAGTTGGAGCAGAAGCCTGAAAACTGGGAAAAGATGACTGATATGAAGAAAGTCCAAAAGAACAGGGTAGATTTGGAAGTTTTGTGGTTTAGGCTGAAAACACTTGAGGAGGTTGTGGTGGAGAAAACGAGGCAGAAAGTACAACCTCTGATACTGAGAGAAGTTTGGAGGAAAGGTGAGCTGGATTTGGAACTTGCCTCAACTGACAGATGTCTTCTGATGAAATTTAAGTACGCCAAAGTTAGGAAAACTTTGGGAAATAATCTTGGAAATGGTTATTGTTTGTGTGCAAAATATTGTAGATATTGGTACATTAGCAGTCTTTGATTAAACGCTTGCAATTAGTAGAGATGGGGATAAAATTAGAAGAAAAAAATAATAGTTAAGCACAGATTTGGAATGCAGAAAGTTATTTTAAATGATATTCTAGACACTTAAATGACATCTGTGTTAAATAATGGTAAATGATTTGAAGTGTTAGTAAGTTTTGATTAACTATGGGTAATTATTAGAAAATTGGGTAAATAATAGTTAAGCACAAATGTAGAATGCAGAAAGTTGTTTTAAATAATATTCTAGACATTTAAACGATATCTGTGTTAAATACTGGTAAATTATTTGAAGTGTTAGTAAGTTTTGATTAACTATGTGTAATTATTAGAAAATTGGGTAAATTGTGGAAATGTAAGAGAATGTTGTTTATATAAAGAACCAGGAGAGGGGATAGAGGGAAGTCTGGAGATTCCTGGAATCTCGAAGAAAAGGTTTTGAAAAGATATTGCTATACATGGGGATTGGGGGTTAAAAATGTTCTTTTTTATTGATGTTAATGTGGAATTAAATTGTGAAAAACAATAAAAAATTATTTAACAGAAAATATACTCTATGTTGACTTACAGATGAGCATGTGAATTGTCTCCATTGAATTGCATTGTGTCTGAGAAAATGTGGTACAATATGAATGCTTGATCTGTAGTTTTGATCTGTGTTAAAGCTGATTCACATATACCAATGAGAGATAAGAATACAAGTGTATTTTCAATGATTGTAGGTATGAAAACAGTAGGACTTCGTTTAAGACTCATTATGCAAACACTGCACATTTACTTACTTTGGCAGGGTATCGGAAAAGCTTTACAAATCCAAAATCATCTCCTGTTGCCAAAACTGTACTATCACTGGTGAGGCACGAAGCAGTTACATCTGTAACTTCTCCAATTATTGGCCAAATTCCTTCACAGCAGGAGCCTAGAACACTTGTCCAGGATGTCCAGGAAATCTTTTCTGCCTATAAAGATAGCCTGTTTGAGAAAGGATACTTATCCATAGTTATACATCTGATCTCAGAGCAAACACCGTAATCCTAGAGGTATACGTTATTCACATCTCCCACCGAAATAATTAGGTATTACCTAGGACAACTGCAGATAAAATGCTTTCAGTTTGAAGGAGGATCATATGGGTGTTTTATGAGGATGTGTTATCACCCAGTATTTGAGAAAATTTATTCCAATTACATTCTAATCTTCTTACCTTCACATGTCTGACAATTAACATGACTATGAGAATTAATACTGTTTTGAACTATGATAGAACACTGTGTGAATGATACTTTCCCAATTGTACAGTAATACCTTAAATAAATTTATTTTTATCTTTTGGGTTGTAATAGCTACTTTGACTAATTAAAGGCTGAGAGCCAGCATGTGAATACCATAAATGCAAACAGGAATTTGCTACTGTTAGCTATCCAGAAAGTTTATTGTTTCCATATCCAACAGCAAGAATGGTTGCTTGCATGGTTTGCTCTAATGTCCTGAGGATAAACTACAGGAGAAGAATTTACACTACTTACAGCACAAGCCTATGCAAGTTTTCTAGGAAGTAAGCCCAGTTATGTTCAGAGGTTTTTCTTTCTCTCAGGTAAGTGTGCAAAGGACTGAAGCCTTAATGTGCTTGTGTTCTTCACTTCTATTTGTAGGACATAATTTGGGAAGGTTTTCTTTACATAAGGAAATCTTAAAGATTCCCTGACGAACCTTGACTTCCTGTGTCTTGCTGGTGATTAGTATAAACCATACTTTTGAATTTAATTCATATAGGTGAGTTTCTTAATTTCCCTGAAAGTGCAACACAGTAATACTCACTATTCTATTCTATTCTATTCTATTCTATTCTATTCTATTCTATTCTATTCTATTCTATTCTGGTCTTGTAAATCTATTTCATTGCTTGTTCTTAGTTTCTAATAGTCTGATTCCAAGACTTGCTGTACCACTAAGAAAACATTTCATTTGAGGAATACTGACCAGTGTGCCACAACAATGCAACAAACCACAGCATTAAGCAGAGATACTGGATTTTTGGTGGTGGTGTTGGGGATATTGACAACAATTTCATTAAGCAAGGAAATAAAATTATTTGGTGATAAAAAGCATTTTCAGATTTTGTAGGGGGGGGGGAAGCTGGTATTGCAAATGAAGACTCTATCCTTAATGGCATCTGATAGGACATTTGTAAAATAGGTCTGCCTAGTAGGGTATTGGGATTTAAATTTTGGATATCTTGAAAAGAGAAACTGCAGGATTTACTTTTGTGGCTATGTCTTTGTCCTTCACTAAAGAAATATATATAAGGAGGAAATTCCACAATTTCTTTTACATATTGACAAGGACCAAAACAATAAGCCTGAACCGTATAGTCTGCCAAGGTCACAAAACACTATCACAATTGGTAAGCCAGAATGTAGATATCGCTCACTGAAGGGATTAGAGTTCCAGAAGCTTTGGAGTTTTAGAACAGCAACTTTTGCATTGTACCACTAGGTGGACCTCAAGTCCCACCTGATGTCATCTTACATGCACAAGCAAATAACATACAGGCAGAGACCACCCCCCCTTTACATACATTCAGTATGTGTGCAACTGTGTACTGTACAGTATATGCGCATCATACCGAACCAGGAAGTGACCCAGAAATGTCATAAATGTATCACTGAAACGTTACTAAAAGGTAGGGGCAGGGTGGTGACGGAATGGGTTGTCTGAAGGCTTTTTCAATAGGTTTCAATTATACACGATTTCACGAATGCATGTGGTGCCTCGGAATGTAACCCCACGTAAATGTGGGGCTGCCTGTAGTGCCTTCAAAATTATGTAAATGACAAAAAGAAAATACAGATATTATTTACAAAATTGTATTTGAACTGAATGGAAAATCTTCTTACCTCTGTACTGGGAATTATCTGTTTCTTCCCCCGAGGAGCTTCAAAAAACAACTGTTCCTTAGCACCAGTGTTGACTTGTAAAAGCTTGCCTAAAAAATGTTCACCAAATACAAAATCTTATTGAAGACTTTTTTGTTTGTAGCTTGTTTACACAATATTTATTAATTCACTTCTTATGAAAATTTGTGAGAAATTCATCACTACCATTTGGAAATACTGCACAAAATTCATGCATAGTTTACACTTTCTAAGCTACAGAAATATAGTCATTTTGCAGCAATTGTATTTCTTACCTCTTACATCCCAGTCAATGTGTGTCACATAACTGGAAGAGCCCTTGCAGATTCCAACCCGCTTACTGCTCATTACATTGTAGATATCTACAAACGTATCATACGATGCTACAGATAAGTATTTTCCAGCGCCTAAAATGCAATCATAAGGAGATGAATACTTTCCCAAGTAACCTGATTTCCTACAAAAATAAATGTGAATCACATAATCTTTGGAAATGTCTTATTTGTAGTTTTGAGCCATGGTTTATGTTTCATGCTGTCTTGTTAGCATTTGTTTGAAAATTATTGCAAACCTATCCCAAGGGGAGGGGGGAGCAGCCCATAAGTAAAAAAAAGCAATTATATATGGAAAACATGTGAGGATAAATACTGAGGCAATAGATATCTCTAGATAAGCCTTATTATTGTAAATGTGTTGTTCAGATATTGTAAATATGTCATTGGGAAATATTTTACCTTTTTAAATGTATTTGATTTCCCCCAGGAAGAGCAGATCTTGATTAATGGGGAAGAGGGAATACAGGCTGGCATTTTGATACCAGCAATGTTATTGCATGCAAGAGGAGAACCCATCCCACAATAAATATCCATCTGGAAGAATATTATGAAGAACAAAATGTGACATGGACTGCAGATGCAGATACAACCTTAATTAATCTTCAGTTACTACCCAACCTAGAAGTAATTTATGAGGGGTACAGACTTAGAGAAAATAGGGTTCATGAGGCCAAAAGCATTCTATTGCCAATCTCAGAAGGCAAATTCATACACTTTGAAAAGTGTTTAATGAATATAATGTTATGCGGGGTGTTGGGGTTGGGGGGGTGTTCAGCCTTCATGGTGCCTTCATGATGTCCTTGTAATTACCGGGATCCGGGATCCAGCAAGGGTTAAAATCTAATGCACGTAAAATGTGGGCTTCCTTTAATTCCAATATATTCCAAGAGCTCTTTCCAAAAGAGCCAACATTTTCCAACATCCACTTTCTTAAAGATCTCTTCTCTCCTCAGCATTACAATGTAAATGTAAGGAGCTTTCAAACTGTCCAATATTTATTTCCTCAAATTTTAAGTGGCCTTATTACCTTCTCTCCCTCGCATCCCGCAGTACTTTGTATTCTTTTCTTTGGTTCATTTTATTAACAATTTTTTAAAATAAAAAAATGTCTTTAACTGTGCATTTGTTGGGGAAAGGATACAGGTCAGTGGCAGAATGTATATTTTGCATGCAAGAAGTCTGAGGCTCAATTCCTGGCATCTTCACTTAGGGCTGAGGAACGCCCGTCTACAACCTTGGGTAGCCACTGTTAGTTATATAGAGACTATACTGAGCTAGATAGTCTGACTCAGTATAATAGAGCTTCTTTTTGATATGTGAACCCAGCACTTGGGGACTCAACCAAGACAATTTCTCCCCAAAGTGGTGTGATTCAAGATTTCCAATTATGTCCAGAAAATCCTCCAAGCATACAGCTACATGAGCATTCAAATAAGTGCACATGTGTTAGGTCTGCAAGACTTTCCCAGCCAGCACCCTTACAGCATAGTAATCTTAATTCTGAAAAGGCCTGAAATTGACAGCAATTGAATGGGAAAAATCATGTCATAATGGCATTCTACAATTCTGAGTGACTTATCTGAAGCCGATTACAGGCAGTTCTCAATTTGTGTGTGTTTGATGCATGTATGATTACAACCGCTGTGTTTGACACTGGAAGAGGGCAGGGTGGGGCAGGGTGGGCTTACAAATGCTCCGCTAATGCGCATGATGACCCAGAATGTAACCCCTATGTAAATGGGGGGTTGCCTGTACTTACCAGGAGAAAATCGTATATCTGAAATAACGTCCTTCCTATGATGAAAAGAAACAAGATCCTCCAGAGTGTCTGAATTCACTATTAAGAAACTTCCATCATTGAGACCTACTGCTAATGCCTTCCCGTCAGGAGAAAAACAACAAGATCTTCCCCCTGCCAAATGCAAAGAGACATATTTTAGTTCTAACTGGAGGCCTGCAGGCATTATTTTGATGGAAAATGTGATGTATTATTATGTTGCACTTTCAAGTGTTCAAACTGTTACATATACTTTCATTGATCCTTATATCTCTATAAGGTAAGTCAGTATGAGGGGTATTATTATTATTATTATTATTATTATTATTATTATTATTGCAAACTCCTCACACAACTCGCATCTAAATTTGGGTAACGTATTTCCATATTACATTTTCAAAGGTTTAAATCTTTTTTACATTCTATTGTTCTAATACTAATTGTTATGTATTGAAGTTCTCACCCTGGCCACCAGGAGTATTGTGTATGTAGTTTTCACTCAGGTCCATGTCAGTTATTTTAGGCGGGAAACCCTGGGTTGTTGTTGCTACATTGTTGACAGCCGGCTGCCTATAAAAACAGGCTGGCTGAGCTGTTTGCTGTTCAGTTCTGTCCAGCTTACAAATAAAGAGCTGCTCTGGAGAAATCGCTGTGTCGTCTGCTATGTTCGCCCACAACTTAACTCTGGCGACGAAGGTGGGATCGATGGACATCAGAGCACAGCCAGATGCAGCCACCCTCAAAGGTTTAAATCTTTTTTACATTTTATTGTTCTAATACTAATATTATTTAACGCAACTTCACTTAGATTCTAATATGAGTGAACAGCAAAATGTTTGCAAATTTTGATGAAAAGCACCATCATCTTACCCTTCTTCAGTTTTCTAACAGCAAGCATGCAATGGCTGGGGGACAGATCCCATATTCTTAAGGTTTTATCATCACTTACAGTGGCACAAATAGGTAAATGAGGATGGGTAGCTAAACCCCAAACTTCTCCTTCCATGTGACCCTATAACAAACAAAAACAATTCAATTCAATTTGCTATATTACAAACAAGAATTAAGAATTGATTTAAAAACAACAGAGGATGCAGCCAACTTATTAAACCACACTAAAAATTATTATGAGTTCGAGGACTGTAAATTACTATACTTTATTGATTGTAAATAAAAAATCTGAACTTTTTTTCACAGTGCTTCCCAAGCCAATTGGTGGCCCATGGGAAGTGCTGTTCAAGGTGCTTTGAAGACACTACCAATACCAGTAGCCTGTAAAGCCCCTTTCTGCAAGTTCCAGCTTTACCTGCCCCACACCTAGGCATGGCTAGACTAAAACAGCCTCATGGGCTCGGTACAGGGGCAAACCTAGGCTTTAGTTCACCCAGGTCAAAGACCCAGTTTGGAACACACACACACACACCCAACACACATTTGCATACATACACACACACACAGGCTGGGAGCATCAATGGCACCCCTCTGGAGGCTTCACCTGGGGCAAAAAACCTGGCTACCCCCCACCCCATAGATACAACACTAGCTTGGGAAAGCTAAAGGTTCTCCACTCCTGACACAGACATTACTATGTAACTGTTCTATATTTTAAGAACTTGTACTTGAGCTTGCTTTTCCCTCCTCCCTGCCATTCCTTTTTCCTCATACATCATGTCTTTTTCAACTGTGAGTTTGAGGGAAGAGACCGTCTTACTAGTGATTTTTGTAAGCTGCTCTGAGAGCCTTTTAGGCTAAATGGCAGGGTATAAATGCCCCAAATAGACAATCAAACAAACCCACCTCATCCCCATCCCCTGCACAGTTTTGCCAATCTTTTAAAATGGATTTTCTTCTTCTGAAGGTGATGAACATGGGGGGAAACAAGAGAGATGACTGGACCAGTATCCAAGTTGCCAATCAGTAAGTTTGTCAAATGCTGAAGGCAGGAGAAAGCCGGAAATGTTTGTTTGTACACAGCCACAGCCTTACCACATTGATCCTAAATTGGCATTTTACACCACCAATTATGAAACATTATTATAGCAGCTGTACTTTAACATTTCAAAACTAAAAATGTTTTTTTAAAAAGAGAAATATGTGGTTAATATTTACTGTACCTGAACAAGCAATGTTACTGGCCCACTTTTATCAACTTCCAGTATTTCACCATTCTTTGTGCCCACTAAAATATGACCATGTCCTAATGATATGGCACGTATAGAAGGGTTATCTTCTAAAAGGAGACCTAAATGAAAATATGTATATATATAAGAGCTCAATATTGGATGAAATCACTATTTTATTTGGAAAGCTTATTATTTGCTTATTTAATTTCTGACATAACCCTGGCTTGAACAGAAAGTTCAGACCTCCCAGTCTCTCTCTTTTATCTTTGGCTTCTGTTACGCAATCCAGTGTACACTTACCTGGAAATAAGTCCAGTGGAATTGAGTAGAACTTCTTTGGGAGTGGAAATGTATGGGTTTTCTCTTTTCAATCCACTTTTAAACATCTTCCTTCTGACAGTTACAAAGGGCCATATTCTCCTCCCCCCCAAGCCCCCCCAATCTTCTCTGCAGGTCCAGGAGAGCCCCCAGAACAGCACTTGGGGGAAGGAAAGGGAAGATTGTTTTATCAGTCAAGCAGAGATGCTTGCATTGATAGAACCATCTCCTTAGCATGATGTAGAATACAACAACAACAAATCCTGTTAGCTGAATTAGCTGAATCCTGTTTCCAATTTTGCCTTGACCCACATGATAATATACAGAAAACAATATATAGAACAGCAATCTAAGCTTTAACAAAAGTTCAGAGGCATGATGAATGAACTAAATAAATAAATGTTACCTTTGGAGCCAGGGGCCAAGGCAGCCCTTTTGATGGCATATGTTTTGAGACACCGTTCAAAGGTGTCATCCCAAAGAGCCACAACTCCATCCTTGCCTCCAGTTACAAATCCCTGAAAACATTAGAAATATTAGAAAGGGAACAGCAGAAAAGTTCTGTGGTACAGTAAACTTTAGTATGTTATTTAAATATGAATCCTGCTCATCAATCATCCCAGTACTGCAATCTTGGACAGCATATCTATAGCAATCCTCATTAGCCATACTTCTGAAGTCATGTAGAACAGTAAATAAATATGAATATGGCCAAGATGCATATTATTTAACTCAGATTAGCAGGGGTGATATTTCAGTGATGATTCCAGCTTCATTCTAAAATGTGTTAGAAATTCTATTCAAATCACCAAAAAAGAGATTTAACCTTAATTGTCCTGAGAACAGTGGGACTACCTGTGTGCTTTCAATTTATTTGCACAAGCATTACTTTAAAACAAGCTAGTTAATTTCTTCATTGTAAAAAACATCATCCATATTAGACTGTGCAGCATTAGGGGGCACTAGAAAGCTTTCAAAAACACTTCATTATATGGCAGGTGGTTCTCTTGTTAAAAAAAAAGAAGAAATCTTATTGGGCCTGACAAAACACCAAGGTGTGTCTAAAGTAGCTCTTTAGATATTGGCTATACATTTTTAAAAATACAATAAATTATTATTGATCCATTTTCAATATAAGCCACTCACTTTTTCTAGTGCATGCATACTGAACACAGGGCCATCGTGTGCTTTCACAGTTTTTATGAGGAAGAGATCTCTCCATATGCATACATCCCCCGTTGAAGTTCCAGAAAATGACATCTCTTCTGTCCAGCCATAAACTGCACACATCATTGTATCAATCTTCCCCATTGGACCTACATAGCCCTTTTTCCCAATCAGTCCACCACCTTAAATTAAAATTAAAATGAAATAATAACAATAAAAATAATTATTCAGTATCTCTATGAACATAACTATGTATCTGTATGAATGTAATTTTCTAAAAGACGATACAGGAACATTTTTAATGAAATTTAATTTCTTTTTTGTCACTTAAATTTATTAAACATGCAATTTCTTTTGTTCCAAAATTGAGAGAAAATGTGTACATCAGCAAATGGACTTAGACAGCACGATAGCTCAGTTGGTAAAGCACAAGACTCTTAGGACTCAGCTAGATTAGTAAAGAAAAGGCGATTTATATGCATTGTATATGCGATATAACATTGTGCCAACAGATGTCACTGTGGAGTCCCATTTTTCTCTACCTGTCTTCCCTGTTTAAATTTACAACGTGTTTAACTGAAACACTTCTTGGATGTGTTTGGATCCAGCCTCGGGGTTGTGGGTTCAAGCCCAATGTTGTGGAAAAAGATTCTTTCATTGCAGAGAGTTAGACTAGATGACCCTCATGGTCTCTTCCAACTCTACGATTCTATGACTGTAGTCTTATGCACACTTAAGGATAAGATAAGAACATAAGAGCTCTGCTGGGTCAGACCAAAGCAACTTGTTTTCACAACGGCCAAAAAGATGCCCATGGAAAGCCTGCAGGACAGGAGCACAGGAGCACTCTCTCCACTTGTGCTCCCCAGCAACTGATACTGAGGCATCCAAGTTGGTGGCCACTACTACAAGAGAGATGCAAATAATTAATTTGACTTGTCTTACCTGCTCTTCGCCAGAATTTTATGTGTTTCATTCCAGCTGTAAGAAGTTTATCAGGCATGTAGGGGTTAATCTTGACGACAAATATCTTGTCTTTGCTCCCCCTAGAACAATATACAAAATATTTTGACTTTTGATTTGTGGGGAAAGCTTTCTCCGTGGCAATAAAGTTAAGGAAAACAAAAGTCTTGGGTTGGACCAGATGAGCTTTGAGGTCCCTTCCAACTCTACCATTCTATGAATTGTTCACACTCAGTAGTGAATCATTGTGTTGGGGGAAATGGAAGAACGGTCTATTTTTTACTTTTAAAAACATGAAGATTGATCCAACACAATGCAGTGCTTTATTTTTGTATTTTATTGTATGCATGTGAATTAAATGGTTCACAACGATTATATTCAGTTATATTTCAATAACTTTTTCAAGAGGTTTGGATCATGACTGTCCGCAGGCCGGATTTAGAAGGCGATTGGGCCAGATCTGGCCCCCAGGCCTTAGTTTGCCCACCCATGTGCTATATCCATACTTTGCTGTCCAGCGGCTCAAGAAGACACAACCTCACTTTCCCACTGTGTATAGGAGAAGGTCATTCAAACCTCCTCAAGAGTACTTGTACTTTTCATCCTGGCCACTTATGCCTTGATTAGTTTCCATAATTAAGCTAAACTCTTACCTGACCGATGAAAGCTTCTCTCCTTTTCTCCAGTCCCAAAGAACAATAGTGTGATTGTCATCTATTCCAACGGAAGCTAACCGTTTGCCATCCGCTATAAAAGAAAATCATAATAAGAATGATGGGCATAATCATAATTCTGTAATCAGCAAGGTGTTTATCAATTGGTGTTAATGTCTATGGAAATCTCCTTCATGTTCAAATCCTCATTCTCACTCATTTTTGTATCTAAGCAGCAGCTATGTTGATTAGGGTATACTCTGTATACCCATATTTATTCTTTTCATGTCTTTTTCATGTTCATTAGGAATATCACTCATTACCACTTTCCCAGAGTCCCTCCAAAATTGGACGTTTGATTCTCCATTTCCTCCTTTCTAGGCTTTCTACATACTGACTAGCAATCACTGGACACTATTAAAATATATATTAAAACATATATATATATATATATATATATATATATATATATATATATATATGCTTTCGTAGATTTTCACGGGTACAGGAATGCAGGTTTTGGTGTCCTCGGGTGTCTTCCCGTGTAAAAGTTGGGGTGTCTAGGCGACGTTTCGACGAGGTCTCACTCGTCATCTTCAGGCTGGTGCTTTCGGCTTCTTGTTACTGGAACAGGGCAGGATCTCAGTGTTTGAGTTCCTATAAATACTGTTGAGGAGGTGTGGTGTATAGCCTCCAATGTTCTGGGCAGAGAGGAAGTTCCCAGGCTAGTGTGCCTTTTCTTCTTTTGTTCCTTAATTACTGGAGGGATATCTGGAGTGATTTCTTGAGTGATATCCTGAGTACCACTTGGGTGGGTCATTAGGTGTGGATTAGTTGCTAAAGCCTTCGTGTCTTGACCTCTTGAACTTGGCTTGAACTTGGCTCTGGCTTGGCTTCGTGTATAGGGGCGAGCTGTGGTTTTGTGGCCTGTGCCAGCCAGATCTGTGTAGGGATTGCAGGGGGGTGCAGTATCCGGAGGTTCCACCATGGTTTGGCTACTGGATGGTGTCTGTAATTTATCTGTGGAGAGGGTCTGGGTTTGGGTCTGGTGTGGTTGATTGGTGATGGCGTTCTGTGTGCCTCTGGATCTGGTGTCGGTTTTTGTGGGGAGGGCTAATTTCCAGATGTCTGGCAAGCGGGATGTGTCGTCACGCTTGTTCATGTTGTGAGGGTGTTTCTCTATCTCGATGGCTTCCATGATTATTCTCTTGTGGTGATGTTCCATGTTAAAGAGCAATTTGGAATCTGCAAAATTAATTTCGTGTCCTGTTTCTTTCATGTGTTGGAAAAGAGAGGAAGTTTTTTCTTCTTTTTTGACGGCATTCTTGTGTTCTGCGATACGTGCATTTATTCGTCTGTTTGTTTGTCCAATGTACGTGGCTGGGCAGACTTTGCAGGGTATTTCATAGACCCTCACAACATGAACAAGCGTGACGACACATCCCGCTTGCCAGACATCTGGAAATTAGCCCTCCCCACAAAAACCGACACCAGATCCAGAGGCACACAGAACGCCATCACCAATCAACCACACCAGACCCAAACCCAGACCCTCTCCACAGATAAATTACAGACACCATCCAGTAGCCAAACCATGGTGGAACCTCCGGATACTGCACCCCCCTGCAATCCCTACACAGATCTGGCTGGCACAGGCCACAAAACCACAGCTCGCCCCTATACACGAAGCCAAGCCAGAGCCAAGTTCAAGCCAAGTTCAAGAGGTCAAGACACGAAGGCTTTAGCAACTAATCCACACCTAATGACCCACCCAAGTGGTACTCAGGATATCACTCAAGAAATCACTCCAGATATCCCTCCAGTAATTAAGGAACAAAAGAAGAAAAGGCACACTAGCCTGGGAACTTCCTCTCTGCCCAGAACATTGGAGGCTATACACCACACCTCCTCAACAGTATTTATAGGAACTCAAACACTGAGATCCTGCCCTGTTCCAGTAACAAGAAGCCGAAAGCACCAGCCTGAAGATGACGAGTGAGACCTCGTCGAAACGTCGCCTAGACACCCCAACTTTTACACGGGAAGACACCCGAGGACACCAAAACCTGCATATATATATATATATATATATATATGCCTTTGATCTTTATGGAGTCAACTAGTTCTGAACGGACTGTACTCTCCTAGAATTAGGCACATGAGTACCAAAGACAGGGACACAAATTTATGTAATACGACCCCTAACCTGACCTCGAAGGACACAGGGCACCTTTATTAGTGACTTTTACCACAATCATTTTTTTCCCAAGCCCAAGTCAGATTTTCTACAGCATAATGAGAGGAAAGCCTCTCCTAATCTCAAAGTTAAGAGCAAAATATTGCATTTGTTCTTATAGCAATGTAATAGTGATCTATTCTTAGGACCTAAAAAGCTGTGTCACATTTCCAACAACTGTAGTTTCCAAGTCAAAAGATGATCATGCATAAATACCTGAAAAGTCAACAGCACAAACACCATATTGATGATAGCCCTTTAGCACAGACAGTGGTTTGATTGTCTCTGTATCCCAAATATGGATTGAGCAATCACGACCAACCTTAAACAAAAGAGATTGAACACATTATGCAGAAAGAAAACTAACCAACTAAAAAAACTCCAAGAGGTATAATGCTTATTTGTCCATAACATCCATTTCATGTTTCTTTCACATGGTCATAACACTAATTTGGATACAAGAAATAAAATTATGGTTCAAAGGTCTCAGACTATGTTCTTATTCTGAATGTTAGCTATGTGTATAAAGAAACAGAAATATCCAGGGCTACTAAAAGAGCACCCTTTTCACCTTTGTTTAATCAAATTGGGGTTAATCCAACTGAATTCAATCTTTTGCAAAATGTCACATTTTATCAGTATCTTCATCAAGCACATTCTATACTATAGCTACAAATATGAAAGCTCCTATTTCAGATATTCTATAAACACTAGCCATTCTATACTTCAGTAGTTCCAGTGTCCACACGAGGGCACTAATGTACTCCTCTACTAATGTACTTCCCCAAAAGAGGAATACGCAGCTGCTTTAGCATACTTTGATGTAAGTCATGTAATGAGGAATCTCCCAAAAGAGGAATACAGCATTCCTCTATAGAGAAGAAAGCAGGAAAACTCTTGCAGGGAGAAGTATGCAGTAGTGCAAAATATAAAGATTTTGCAGAGGGATAGTAGCCATGTTAGTCTCTTGCAGCAAAAACAAAAGATATTTTTGTTAGTCTTTAAAGCGCCACAAGACTTTGTTTCACACTTCCAGCATGAGCTCTTTCATAGTTGAATAAATCTATGCCTACTTGTTTTTACTCAAGTAACCAAGCTGAAACGTGTCTTCTACAACTGTACTGCTTTCACATGCTTTTTCACAGAGGCCTATTCCACAGATTTATGAAATATAAATTTATAAGCTCACTAAAACAACACAGGATTTCTAGTTCTCCTAAACATGAATCCTACCTGGCCTGTTGCCACATAGTCCTTTAAGGGATGAATAGCAAGACACAGAATATCATCATCATGACCCAAATAAAAACGTTGTGTGTTTTGCTGCCGATTGTATACTACACCCACTGCTGCAACATGGTACACAATTTCTCCAGTCTGAGTGTAAAATAAATTACTGCGACAGTCATAGCCTCTGTAACTAATAAAACAGTTAGACATTTAGGCATTATGACACAGTACAATCAACTAAATATTTTAGTTTTTATAGTTACATACTTCAAAATGATTTTGATAGTTCCATCAAAAGTACTCCAAAAAAAAAAAAAATCTCTAGTATGGGAGAACAGTAAATCAGGCAAGGTTACATCAACAATTTCCCCTTCAAGTGATGATTGTAGGAGGCATAAAGAAATTTGAAAATAACTTGTATGGTTATGTTTTTCTCTGTTTCTGGAGGATAAACTAAGAGCATTATATAGCTGGTCCTTTAAAATGTTTATTTATTTAATTAAATATTTAATAGTTATAATCTGCACTTTCATAAATTATATTAAAACAACTTAAAACATACAAAATGTAATAAAAGCAGTTCATAAATATCAATAAAATATTTTTTTAAAAAACACCAGTAGATACAGGTTGGTTTTAAAAAGAAATTGATGTTGTGAAGGCCCCTATGAGCAATACAGTTTTCATAAGATATCTGAAAGGAGGCAGGGGCAGTTCCTGCCAAATCTATACTGGTAAGGGGTACCACAGGGCCAGGCTGCCACTAAAGGCTCAGTGCCTAATGAAGGCCAATTGAATTTCAAGGGTGTGTTCTGCTTCTTTCTCCCATTTCTCATAGAACTATTTACTCCAAATTAACCATTTACTAGAAGTATGTCCAGTTAACCCTTCCTTAACCCACAGAAATTAACCATTTACTAGAAGAATCCTTAATTTGTCCTAGTGATTCATTGAATCCAAGCATTAGACAAACAAAACTTTCACAAATCTAGCAAATTCTTTAGTTATGATATTCAGAAAGCTGCAATTTCTCTGTCTTGTGCATAGTTTTTTGTTTTTTAAGGATAAATATTACTGCGGATGGGGAGGCTTTGAAATGACCCCATGGTGCTGGAAGAGAAAGGTTTAAAGTGTTCTACACTGCATCTTTTCCCCTAGTTATATCCCCTCCAAAAAAACCCTGCTATTTACTGTCAGGGCAAATCAGGTATAATACATTTTCCCAGTATGGTCTTTCTATGTTTTTCACCTGCAAGCAAATAGTACTTTTTTGGGGAAGGGGGAGATTTAAATCAGAAAAAAATGGAGTTTGAGGGAAGGAGACATACTTTCCCCTCAGCACTGTGGTCCCAATCCAAATGGCCCCATGAATGCTTTTGTGTTTTTCTAAAAATAAAAAGTGGCATATCCAATCACAGATCACATTTAGTTTGGCCCTTAAATGTCTAAATCCATGTAAAACAAAATAATCTGATTTGCTTGCTTTTAGGCAAAAAGATAAATTTACAAACCCATGAACAAAGTGTAATCTTATACTATTGATTGGAGCCCGTTCTCTTCTTTTTGAAGCTGCAGTTTTTCGTTTTTCTTTGCATTGCTCTTTAAGCTGAGGTAGATCTTCTTTGTAAACCTTAGCAGAGAATATAAAGTTCTCTGTAATTGTGCATATCTGAAAAGCAAATCTCTCTGAGGAATAGAGGTTGATAGATAATTTTCTGAGCTTCCTACATAAACTGCATACGCCACATGGTTGCAATATTAGAACTGAAACTTTGCTTTTTCTGTTACTATCATAGTAAAAATACTCTGACCAAATCAGAGTATTTGGACAATCTTTCTACTAGCTCCAGAGATTTAAATGAGAGAGTTCATAAAACTCATTGGTAATACTGGACAGCATTAAGATGACCCACAGCTCTGCTGAAGCAATTCCGCTCCAGCGACCGGACATACAGCCATGTCTCAGCAAACCTAAACGTAACAGGGAACCAGGATACTGCATGAAATATGAGTGGAGCAACAACTGCCAATGCTGGTTGCAACTGATTAGAGCAATTATAATAACGCCTGGTGAAACAGGAACCCATAGGGTGCCGCTGTTGTTTTCTAATACAGTGGTGCCCCGCAAGACGAATGCCTCGCAAGACGGAAAACCCGCTAGACGAAAGGGTTTTCCGTTTTGGAGGTGCTTCGCAAAACGAATTTCCTATGGGCTTGCTTCACAAGACGAAAATGTATTGCGAGTTCCTGCAGGGTTTCCCCCCCCCCTTTTCCCAAGCCACTAAGCCGCTTATCAGCTGATCCGCTAAGCCGCTTAACAGCTGATCCGCTAAGCCGCTAAGCCGCTTAACAGCTGATCGCTAAGCCGCTTATCAGCTGATCCGCTAAGCCGCTTAGCAGCTGATCCGCTAAGCCCGCTAAGCCGCTAATAGCACTAAGCCGCTAAGCCGCTAATGGGCTTGCTTCGCAAGACGAAAAAACCGCAAGATGAAGAGACTCGCGGAATGGATTCTTTTCGTCTTGCGAGGCACCACTGTATCATTATTTGTTTATTGCTGTTTTCATATTAAACTCTGTAAAACACCTTACAAAGTTTAAATTATAAAATGAAGTACAAATTTTTAACATACCAGAAGCTGGCTCCTCTGCTTGCTTAACTTACCAACCCACCAGGCCCTTTCTAAACCCTTGCCAACCCTTCTCACTGTACCCTTGCCAGAGCTCTCCTCCCTGTACATCAGGGGTGGGGGAGATTTTTGGCTCCTGGGCCGGATCTGGTTTATTTCAGCATTCGTCCCTCATCTGCTTTTGGGGGCTTATGGTTCCAGGCCATCAGCTACGATAAAGCGTGTTCTCCCTAAAATGAGAGCATATGTTGCGGTGGGGGCCGCCAGGCCAACCCTCTGTTGCCAGGCAGGTTAATGGTTATTGCCTGAAGCAACAATTGGCTTACCGGGTTGCTGGGGCAAATTGCATGTTTCAAATTGGGTGGGTGGGACCATAGGTTATAAATATTGGGGGCACTCTGCTTTTGCTTTCTCTTTCGCAGAGTGCTTCGGATCACCCGCCTGCCAGCCCTGTGATCCAGTTGACCTTGCTATGCCTGTCATGGGGTCATCTGCCGTTGGGGCAGGGGCCTAATAGGAATTTTATCTATTTGGCTGATTGGCTGGTGCCACTTGGTTTTTGCCTACTACTTAGCAATTCGTCACAACTTGTAAGGTTGCGGTTTGGCATTGGTTATAAAAATTGGTGGTGGAGGGGTCAGGATAGGCTGTGCCTGCCCTTCCAATGGTGCTGGAAGGGAATTCCGTTAAAGGAATCCTGGGGCTTGCCACGATTTCGTCCAATCCCTGAAATGGGACCAGGGCTGGCAAGCCTTGGGGAGCTGGTTGGGTGAGCGGTGAGGGACTGTCGCTCAGCTCAACTGATCCCCAACATTGTTATTCCTTCACTGGCTTCCGAGAGAGTTCGGATAGTCAGTTGTCCAGGCGGGAGGACAGATAGTCATAACCAATGCCTAAGCAACCACTCACATTATGTATTTTAATAAAGTTGTGGCCAAAATAGTGCCAGAAACCTTAAACTAAAATTACGTGTGATTTGTGAATTATTTGAGGGGTGGCTTGGGGACCTCCACACGCAACTGTTCTGATCAGTTCTAATACAGTCTGTGAGTTTTGTGGTGTCAACATTCTATAATCCAGCTATACACAGGGTTTGTTGCAGCAGGGTGTATTAGCATATTTATGTTTATAATGTAAGACAATACCTGTCGACGGTATGTGATTTGTGTCTCTTGTTCAATTTCAGAGTCCAGCTCTGGAACATCAGATTGATCAGAATCAGATTCTTCACTATTAGAGTCAACTAGGCTTTCTTTGATAAATAGAGAAATAAATAAATAAATGAGTGAGTACGTATTGAAAACAGCAGATACAACGTAAAGGTAATAAAATTACTCAGTTAACTGTGCAGTCCTAAGCATGGTTACTGACAACAACTGTGACATATATGCCTAAATAAAAAAATAGTAATTTCCCACCACTTGTACTCAATGGTCCAGGACCAAAACAACAGAAAACAGAAAGTCAAACCAAAACTGAGAAAAAACTGGAGTATTTGCAGTCATCCAGATCAAGAAGCAGAAGTCCCAACCATCACTGCAAAACGCATATCACTAACAATATTTTAAATTATTTTCCCACTCCTATCAAATGATGTATCACTCACCTTGTGGTGCTATGTGAAGAGCATCCTTCAGCTTCCTTTCAGGAACAAATTTCCACTGGAAAACAGAATGGTCTGCTCCACCAATAGAAATAACCCACTGATAATCATGCGACCATCTGACATTTGTCACGTGTGCTGAATGACCAAGGTATTTCTTAAATTTTGCCCCTATTAAAAAAAATAATCAGTTTTATCATGTGTCAAATTATGTATCAGTTTAAAGAGTTGTTTTACACCATGGCTTACAACCAGCTGTGCCTTGCCTAAGGAGATACATGCTTTTGGTTATGCAAGAGGTGAGTCCCAATTTCTGCTAATGGTTCCTCTGCAGTTTCATTCCATCAATACTGTCCCTGAGGGTCACCTTAATTTTCAGGTTTTCCAGGCAAATGCACTGGGGTGGAGGAGGTAGGAAAACCTCATTGCGCAAGTAAAAGTCTGCTCAAGGTTTGTAGTATCCCACTGAGTATATTGCAGAATATCTGACATGCCATCCCAGTCAGTTACAACTGTGCTACTTTGTTAAACAAGAGCAACAAGCTACCTATATCAACCATTGCTGTTTTGTATATGAAACCCTTTTCAGCCAGTCAATGATATTTGACTGTAACACACACACCCACACCCACTTCCACCATACCCTTTTACTCTGTGGAAAACAGAATGTGACATCTGGACTTTGGGGGCTTATCTGAGTGCAGCATCTCATTGACCCCAAAATCTCTTATCTGAAACATAAACAAGGGTCACAAATGCTAACAGTCATTTGGATAAGAAAAAATTCCACTATTATTTTAAAAGGTTTTTTTTTCTCATTTAAAAAGCCAGATTCTAACTTATGAGAACTTTCCATCCTGGGTATTCTGTTATTTGCATTCCAAGCACACACTAAATAATTACCTTTTCTTAAACAAGGATACCGAAACAATTTTACTATTCCATAGTCATCAGCTGTAACTAGAACTTGGCCCATAAAATTTGCATCTACAGAATTGATATCATTGATCTCTGAATATTTAGGCCATATTCCATTAACTTCAAGGCCTGCAACTGAAGTCCATGAAGCCCATTGGACACCTTTTAACTCATCCTTATTCATCACTTCTTTTCCACCTAGATATAGAAAGATACTTGTTTAATCATTCACTCAATTTATACGGGCAATTATCATATTAACTGGATTGTATTCAATATTGCACAAGGAGAAGGCTGCTTGTGCAACCAATTCTTCCCCCTCCCTTCCCTGCAGCCCATCCTACCCCTGCCCCCATAAAAGCCTCTCTAGAGGGATATGTCTTATGGAAGTGCAGTAGGAGGAAGGAACTGGTCAAAATCAGTTATCTTCTGCAAGCAGTCTAAGATTCCTCTGCCCACTGATTAAAATTGTTTGGAGAGAAATGACTAGCTGCAGTCACTACAACTACTTCACCAGGAATGTGCTATGTTATAATAGCATTAGGCTACCACTACCTATTTTCTTGAATAATTGTAATAGTAGTAGATTATCTCACCAGGCATCCTGTAAAAAAGCCTTTTTCCACTGCCATCATTGGTCTGCAAGTGTTTGCTGTCCAATGACCAATCCATATGAGTGATGAAACTTGTTGATCCAATACACTCTCCAACCTTTTTGTACCGCTGAACAACACCATAAATATCAACAGAACTGTCATTAGAGCCAACTGCAAGGAAATTTCCATCTGGTGAGTATTTTAATTCATGAATAGCTTCTTTCCTATCTTTAATATGAACAACCTCTGTCATATCTCTGTAACACAGAAAAAGAAAAATATATAGTTTAGCCATTGTCTGTGTACAAAGAAATCCAGCTTTACTCCCATCAAGTGAAGAAAAGCCTTGCAAATGGAATATCTACTTAGCAGTGCAATATATAACAGACATCTACACATTAATAACAAACATGAGCCTGACCAAACTGCAGGAGGCGGTGGAAGACAGGAGTGCCTGGCATGCTCTGGTCCATGGGGTCACGAACAGTCGGACACAACTAAATGACTAAACAACAACACACATTAATAAGGAAGCCTCTATTTACATTTACCCTTCTGAGAACTCAGATTACAGCAGAAGGCCTATGGGCTTGCATTAAAATATTGTTTGCACACATTTCTTCAAGTTATTGAACAACACCACAATAATCAGATATCTTCAAAAGTGCCAGCCTTATGATCCACAGGGGCACACATGCATTCACAAACAAATGCATTAAGTCCACATGGGAAAATTTATCTGGCACTGATGCAATGCTAGCCGGTGGCAGAATTTTACAATTCATTGTAAAAGCAACTTAATGGCAAAGTTTATCTTTGTTTAAATGTCTTCAGTGCATAACCTACCTAACTCGAAGTACTGTGAAGGAACCATCTTTCATTCCAAGTGCAAGATGAATTCCATCAGTGCTAACAGCTGCACAACGAATTGGCTCTTCCATATTGCACCGTGCAATCAATGCATGATCTATAAGGCTCCATATTCTGCAAGAAAGTATTCAGGGTAAACAAAATACAATTATCATACATGCAGAAAAAAAATGTAGTGGGTTGTCTCATCTTTTTAAAAAATACCCCCCCCCAAAGCATATGACTTATATTCATTAGCACCCTGTACTCCAAGACTGGATTGAGGCCCAGATCCAATTCACACATGCCCAAAACATTTCTGAGTGTCACAGAGCATTCAGAACCTAATATGGTTGGCTGTATGGCAAGGTGCCATCTAACTATTTTATCAGGCTGCAGAACCATTTTCATCTAGCACACAGTCAACTGTTTTATTATATTGCCAAGGTCAGTCTCACTGCTATTTTAAGATTTAAAATACAGTAACATTACTAAGGTCACACTGGCACCCCTGGGGCTTTAGCACAATTGTTTCCATAATTTAATGACAGGGCTTTGCAGTTGTCTAAAATTTTCTTAAGTGGCCAGTCATTTTACTTATTTTTCTGATTTTAAACGCTTTTTATCTTTCTGCACACAGTCCTGATGTTTTGTGAGGATCATATGTAAATACTTTGATGAATAAAATACATGTAAATACTTTGATGAATAAAATACATACCAAAGCAGCAGATGATAACTTATCACAAATGCAAAAAAATGGTTTGTATTTTAAAATTCAAAGTATGTTTTACTGTAGATGCTCATGTGTCTTTTGAGAATCCATGGGAACTAACCTAACTGATCGATCATCACTTCCCGTCATAGCCAAAGGTTTTGTAGGATGAACTGCCAGGGCCCAAAGCTCCCCTTCACAGTGCCCTTGCATAATAAGAAAAGGCTTATTGCGTTCATGCACCACAATCTCAAAGATTTCACTGTCTTGTGTTCCAACTAGTATATGATCTCCTCGCCAACAAACACTTCTCACAGACAGACCTGTGGAAAGTAAATATACAGCTTTTATTATACATGTGTTTAACAAAGAAAAATTTACTGTGAAATCATAAAATATTCCTGAAAAAATGGAAGAAAGTTAATTAAATCACATAGTACAAATTGAGGCAAGCCCCCCTTTTACCCCAAATGACAAATTTTGTTTTTACATTACAATAAATAAAAATTAGAGGCCTGCAGTAATGTTTTGGCTAGCACTACTTTGCTCATAAGTTAAGTCCAACTGAATTTAACTGTATCTGCGCCTTGCACTTTGTTAAAAGGGAATGGAGGAGAAACTATAACTGCATCAACCCTCCTTCATCAGTCTATCCTATCCTCAGCTGTTGTCACAATCCCTACAAATAAACCATTTGTTGTTTATTTCAGAAAAAGCTTCAAGGTTGCTCATGCTGGAATATGCAAGTTTCTTTACGATTCTACCACAACCATTTAGGACCATATTGACTGATGGGAGTGTGCTGTGGAAGCTTCTGCTCCTTTTTCTTTTATGGAGCTCATGTATGAGCTGGGAGAAGCTCATGATCCTATGGACAGTCATATGGGAGTAAGCTCAGATGAATTCAGTAGAACTTATTTCAAGTAAACACGCACAGTAATTAAGAATCTCACTCTTTCTTTGCCTGTTTCTTGCTGTCTCTTCCTCTTTCTGACACGTGCTATTTATAGCAGCCAAAAAATCAGTACATGCAGGTCCTGCTTACTGAACACAATGAGTTCCCTGGAAATCATTTGTTAGGCGAGCATTCCTATGGGAAGACATTGACCGAAACCTACCCTGCAAGACCACTAAACGAATGGGTCTTCTCACCACACAGTGCCACTACTGTGCAAAGAGAAGTTTTAACATTGCACTCCACACACAGACATCCATTAATATAGGCCCCTGCTCACATGACATACAACATCCATAATACTCAGAAAATCCACACCAGCGTTGCTGTTCTGGAGTAGGGCTATGACTCCTCAATTATGAGTAGGGATATGAAGGGACAATGGGCAATGAAAAAGGTATTCCTTTGATAATGTAATTAAAATACTGTTTTGTTTTGTTTGTTTACCTTTATATCCCTGGTCTGTTTCCCTGAGATCAATCACAGTAATTGGTTTAAAATTTAAATCCCAAAGGCGAACACAGCCATCCCTGCCACCAGTAGCAAAGCCTTCTTCACAGGCATTCATGCTGAAAATTCCTGCCTAAAGAGGAATAAAGAGCATATTTAAGGATGTACACAACTTGCATTAATGATGATTTTTTTAAAACAATCACATGGGACAAAATATTTTTCCTGTGTTTTCCTTTAGAATACACTGTGTGTTTATACAAATAACAGACTCTTGTCTTTAAAAAATAATAATCAGAATTTGAAAAGAACAACTACATAAAACTCTGATCTGCTTTTCTAAGAAAGCCTGCTTGTGAATGCAACTAGACCACACAACTGCAAAATATATCTGACAGTTTCACTTAATTGCTGTGTAACCACGTAGCTGAATGATTATACAAATTGTTGTCTGCACCTTCCAAATGCTGGTCTCTGTATGATCCAATATTGTGATACATGACCTTCATGATCAGGTTATTTTCTTCTTTAATTAAATTAAATTCATATCAAGGCAATGCACCTCAAATAATTTTATTCCCTTTAATCGCCATGACTGGATAAAAGAAGCTAATCACAGATCCACTAACACAACTACACGCTAACTCAGTGAAAAAATACAGCAATAGAAGTTTAAATGTTATGCATATGAGTCCACACTTCTGTGAGTACCCAAGCCTGAGCCTTTCTCACCACTCTAGCTCTGTGAAAATGCTGCCCTTAAGAGCTGCTGCCAAAAAAGGCTCTCTGTAGCGTCCCTTTTAAGGAGTCTGAAACCAAGTCCAGAAACATAATCACCATCACAGGGAGATCAGGGAGTCTGCACTCTTCCCCATGTCATCTTCCTATTTGGATTGAGAAGAGAACCCTGTCCTTTAGGAACATAGTCCAATATTCTGTTCTCACAGTGGCCAACCAAATGCCTGTGAGAAACCAACCCTTTCCCCTCCTTTGTTTTTCAGCAACCGGTATTAAGAAGCATTGCTGCCTCCAACTGTGGAGGCAGAGGATAGCAATCATGGCTAGTAGTCAGTGATAGCCCTCTCCTTAATGAATTTATTGAATCCTCTTTTAAAGCCTTCTAGGTTGCTAGCCATCACTGCCTCCTATGGGAGATAGTTCCATAGTGTAACTATGTGCTGCATGAAGAAGTACTTTTATTTATTTGTCCTGAATCTCCCAACATTCAGTTTCGTTGGAAGTCCATGAGTTCCATTCTGGTTTACACTTGTAAAGAGAGACAGCAAAACAGTGGATGTTCTGTGTTGGCTCACAAGAGGGTTAAAGCACTCATTTAAGTTTGCTATATTGTTTCCACTTATATTTAATTAAAACTTGCCCAAGCAACATGGTGATGTTTTATACAGGGTGCCTGTTATCTGACCTCAGCTTTGGCTTCAATCCACACAACTTGAGTATTCACCTCTGTTAAAGAATACTGAAATAAATTATTCACCCACTAAGGAGGTGTAGTATATACATTCCTCATATAAAAGTCCTACCAAGTGTAACCATGCAAGACCAAGATCGTTATTGTTTACTTGTTTCCTGTTTTATATCCAGTTCCTGAAACGGATCCATTTTTAAAATTCTAAATCTAAAAGATTTCATATGTTGATATACAATACACTATTCTATAGCTTGGGAAGGTCACTCAAGACTTTTGCATTTATTTCAGGTTACATTACTGCTCTAATAAAAGGCTGCCCTTGAAGACCATAGAGCAATATAGAGTTGTTGTTGTTGTTTAGTCGTTTAGTCGTGTCCGACTCTTCGTGTGGACCAGAAGCACGCCAGCACTTCGTCTTCCACTGCCTCCCGCATTGGTCAAATCATCTGGTAGCTCGAGAACACTATCCAACCATCTCGTCCCGTCGTCCCTTTCCTTGTCCCTCCATCTTTCCCACATCAGGTTTTCAGGAGTCTCTCTTCTCATAGGTGCCAGACTGAGCCTCAGCTTCACGATCTGTAGTGAACAAGGGCTGATTTCCTCATGGAAGTTGATCTCTTGAGTCCTGGGACTCTCAAGATCCCCAGCACCAAATCAAAGCTCATCTCAGCGTATCAGCTCTTTATGGTCCAACTTCCATTCACTACTGGGAAAACATAGCTTTTCTAACTTGTTGGCAAGGTGTGTTTAAAGCTGCTACCATCTTAACATTTATATCCACCAGGTTGCAGTGATGCTACTGTTCTCACTGTGTTTGACCTTCTGTGTGTGTGTGTGTGTGTGTGTACACATACAACACAGACATAAATTCAAGTTTTTAAAGCCCACTTATTCCAGCTTTCATTTTGTTGGTGGTTTTAGGATGATGATGCAATGGCATTACTTTTAAATTGGCTGCAGTGGTGAGAAGTTTGCTTGTGAAACATTGAATGTTGGCCCATTTTTTTAAGACTTTTTGGCACCTCGTAAAATATTAAATTGGTTTCATGAAGTATTGTCCCACTTCCCATTGTTCTGAACCTATTTGCAGGTTATGTGGAATGAAGAATGATGAAAAGGAACACCTTCCTTTTCCTTTTTGCAGAAAAGACATATGCTAAGGTTCAAATACTGAAGAAGGCCCTATGCAGTGTCTGTATGAAAACAGCCATATGCAAGCTACTCTGCCGTTTGGAAGGAAAACCAGGATATAAAATACAACCCATCAATGAAATGTCACCACACTATTCTTCCATAAATTGCACACAGGAGTTCAGATGAAAATTATATGGAATAACTCTCTCACTGGGAGTTGTGAATAGGAGATGTGCTCCTCAATTTGCACACAAATCCATCTGTCTTGCCTTTCCCCTACTGACAGTAAAGCAATAACATCCTGGGAGTAGCACACAAGTCATACAGATACAGCTGAAGATTCCTTCCTGAACACCAATGCACTTAGCCTTCAGCCATCCCAGATAAATAACCCATAAACATTAATCTGCAAGATGAGGAAAGACTGCAAACTTGTCCTAATTTCTGCATTTTCTGGTATATTCAGCCAGAAACTTATGAAAGGGTCTGCCAGAAGTTAAACTGTGACACTCCACATCTGATAAAGTCCCCTGCATTTGTTAACCAAAATGCAATCCATTTAGAAATCTGTGTATGTCACACAAAATCTTAATTTACTGGTATTTCACTGGTCAATCAGTTTTCATATGAAAATGATACTTACAGCATGAGCTCCTTGTATGGTTCGGATAAGGTTGATTCCTTTCCATACATATATATCTCCATTAAGTGCACCAGAATACGTTACTTCATCTCTTGCACAGGCGAGGCACAATATAGTTTGGAGATCACCAGTCTTACCAAAAACACCACGCTTTGGTGTCAATGAATTGCCACATAAACTCCAGAACTGCAAGATAAAGTATTGGGAATCTGAGGTGAGATACCCACGCAGTAGAAGTTGGTCCCAGTACCAGTCACCACACAGAAGCAGCTTAAAGTACAAATAGTTTACTGTTGCAGAAGATAAGGCTCAGTAAAACAGTTCTGGGTGTAGATACAGGCATTATAGATACATACAAAGTATCTTTGTTGCTCACAGACTAACTACTGAGCTGACATTCATTAATCACAGATAAAGTCAGGGCACTGGGCTGTTACCATAACGGCTGGCTTGGCTGACCTTGCATCTGTGATTAGCTCGTTCATGGGGTGATTTACACTCATGAAGGAAATTAACCCATTCACATGTCCAGTTACTCCAACAGACATTGCACTTCATGCTTCTGTTCCCCAACTCCACTTAATGGACAGCTGTTTGTGGAGGGAAGGCAAATTGAAGCATGATAATGTCACAATATAGTAGACATTATGAGGAAAGTTGAAAAAAGTAGTCGCAGAGCTGCTATTATTGATAGTAGCTTTGTGGGTCTAGTAACATCGATGTGTGCCCTGATGCTATGCAGCATTTCCCCCCTTGTTTCATAAGGAGCACAAAAAAGAGATTTACAACTTTATTCCAGTAGTGATTAGCAGAACAGGGGCATTTACCTGACCTTTCATCATCTGCATTGCTACAGCTTACTGGGAAGAAGAGGGGTGATGTAGTGGTGAGGCTGGCATGATGCAGGAGTGGACTGGCTCTACTGGTACATTTGCACCATGTCAACACTGCAGTGCCTTGCCCCTCCTTCGCTCCCTTCTAGTAAGCTGCAGAAGCAGCAGTGATGGGAGCTTAGGTAAATGTCCCCACACCGCTGGCTACTATGGTGTGATCTGATGTATGTTACCTTAGCCTAGAGGATGAGTTCAATGTGATTTACAGTCAAATCAGGGACCATATAACTCCAGATGTAGGTTGCAATCCTAACTAACCGCATTTCCTGAAAATAACAAACTCTAGTTGTAAACTAACATGATTCGCTGGTCAGATTTATGCCTTTGTTTACGAAATGTATGTAGCAGTATCAATGAAAATGTTGATTTAAACCTGCCTTTTTCTTGCTCTGAACTGAGAATTGACTTGCCCAAGGTCATCCAGTGAACTTCATACTTGATTGGGATAGTAAATGCAAGCTTCATAGGGCAAATGGATACACTTCGTTTTATTATATTAGAAATGGAGAATTGTTACCTCTGATCAGTACATAAAGGGCAGTCTTTCTAAATACTGTTATAGGTTTGGGTGGGGAAAGAACCCCCATACACCCAATAAATTGATGAATGTCATTATTTGGAGTATTGGAGGGAAGATTCCAGGCGAGTGGAAAAATACAAACTAAACTTCCTTTCTAATGCCAGGACCTCACCTGGTATAGAGGAATTAACGAAAAGTGTTGATGGCCATATCAAAGGGGAATCCTTGAACCTGGGCGGACAGAAATTGCCAAGGTAACAGGAAGGGAGCAGGCTGTGCTCACAAGGAAAAATGTACTTCTAAAAAACTATGTTTGGGGTGAGGAGGAGTTGCTTGAAGCAGAGTTTATGGGGGGAAATAAAGGGTAGAACCACCTTGGCACTTGCTGGAGGAGGGTGCACCAAGAGACCAGGAGCTATGACTGACTGCTGCTTAGGCCCCAAGCTTGCTGAAGCTATGAGAAGGGTAATGAGAGACATTTTGGGGCATAATGTTCTGCACACACCCCATGGAAGACTTTAACTGTGTATAGGTGTAAAATAAGCCATATATCTTAAAGCGCTACAGCCTCCACTGTGACCTGAATTCCCATAGAAGCATAACTCTGGGTGAGCGACTGGAAACTCTGGAATTTTGCTACCACTTGGCAGAGATTGGGGTGGTGTGTAACAATACAATTAGTTATTAAGATAACTGTAGATCAATTTCTCCAGGATTAATTCAGACCCTTGCTACTGTGTTATGCTGTCATTAACACCCCCCCCAAAAAAAACCCTATTAAAGACTCTCCTAAGCTATTCAGGCATGCCTCAAGAAAAAAAACCAGAAATATGCATAACCAGAAATAGCCTGATTTAAATTCAGTCCTACCCGAAGGAAATCCATCTCTGTGTTACCGCTACCAAAAAGCCCTATTGTTATTAGATTTCATGGAACAGATAGATATTTGAAGCTGAACTTACCGCCCAAAATTCCATATTAAAACCTGTTTGGAAAGTCAGCAGTGGGTGCAGGAGACTTGGATACAAAGGACAGAACAAGACTTATTGTACTATCCCAGCAACGTGGCCATTTTATGACAATCAGCAGGGGATACACATGACTAGCAGATTACCCCCACTAGGAGAATGAAATCCATCACTGCAATGAGTCCTAAAGACAAGACTGCCTAGGACCTGACAATATAATCACTTTATTTTCTTCAAAGACATCAGGTTGCAATATGAGATCCTATGAAGTATCATGTCCTGTCATTGCTACTCTATTTGCCATGACAAATCTTTATCACTGTTACCACAGTTTATCTTTGCTATAAAACGGACTAGATTGAGCTGCAGAATTTAGAAGGAATACATCCTTATTAACTCTAGATCTGCAGCATTAACCATTCATTACCATTTTGTATCTTGACTGCTACTATCAGGACAAGCCACAAGAGGGTTAATGGTCAGAAGTAACTAGGCTAAGTGGGGATGCATTTGTTGCTGACTACAGTCCAGTTAGTCAGTGATCCTTCCTGACCTCAATTAGTCTTTAGTACTCAATTTTCAAGAATGTTATCTCCAGACAGGATATATGTTATCTAATTGTTGTTTCTAGCTCCACGCATATTTCCAGTTTCTTGGTAACTTAGTTAGCATACCAATTTTTGACTAATTTGTAAGTACCAGAAGAACATACACTATAAGTGGTTTTTGTGTGTGAAAATTTTACACTTTTAAAAACAAACCAGTGCTTATCAGATTAACTCTCCTTAGCATTTCTAGTTATATTACTATTTCAAGACAGTATTTTCTCAAATAGTTGAAATATTCTACTGTTTCAGCCCCTTGACAAACTTCCTAAAATCATAGCATTTTACTGACTCTCAAAAGTATGGTATTTCTGCAAGTTATCCATAGCTCAATAAAAGCCTTTTCACCTAGAAAACTTAAACTACATCTCCACAATAATATATGGATCCTTTTCAGTTTGGTTTTCAATCTGGTTTGGGAAATAAAACACCCTTAATCACTTTTGTCAAGGGATAGGCAGGGCAAGTACAGCCCTATTCATTCTCCTGGATCTCTCTGAAGATTTTGATACAGCAGCTGAAGTAACTTTCTGGACTGCTTTGCCAGGATGGGACTGGAGGAAAAGTTCTGATGTGGCTCCAGTCGTACCTGGGGGTGGAGAAGATCCAGAAAGTGATTTTGGGAGACTGCAGCTCTGCCCTGTGGATTTGTTTTATGACAGGTGTAGGGAACCTTTTCCAACCAAGAGCCTGAATCCCTACCTTCCACAAACCCCATGGGCCATTTTGACAGGGGCCATCCATCTGTCAATCAAAGGGGCTCGCTATCAGCATTGATCAGCTGGCTGCTGCAAACATTGAGCCCTGCTGTCAATTCAAACCATGCCAGAAAATGGACAAAATCCATTCCCATCCAGAGATTTTTGATAGGGTATCAGGGCACAGATGGCACCCAGGCCTCTCTCATTTCCATCTACCAATCCTGGGGAGGCAGTGGAAGATCAGAGTCAGTGCTTGGCAGAAGTTTTAGACAGGACCAAATTTAGACATGAACCAAATTTGAACCTTAATCCAGACAAGATGAGGGTAATATTGCTTAAGGGTTCCGATGATCTTGGATTCAACCTCTTCTGGCTGAAGTCGCCACAGATTTACTGTTTGAGAGTTCTCCTGGACCTGCCAGGTGACAGCAGTGGCCTTGAGTATTTTCCCCCAATTCTGGCTTGTTACATCAACTGAGACTTTTCCTGCATTGAAAAATTGGCATACATGTAGATCTTCCAGCATTTAGTCAGTAGCTTATTGGTGTGATTTGTCAAATGCCGGGGTATGATGAGAAATTTCCAGTTCAAAATTTTATGGAAAACCCAAAATAATCATAGACTGACATGTTAATGAGCTAATAACTGTTCACTGAAATTGCTATTCAATTTACAAAGTTGTTTGAAAAATTAATAAAACATATAGGGCAGGCATAGGCAAACTCGGCCCTGCAGATATTTTGGGAAAACAATTCCCATCATCCCTGACCACTGGTCCTGTTAGCTAGGGATGATGGGAGTTGTAGTCCCAAAACATCTGGAGGGCCGAGTTTGCCTATGCCTGCTATAGGGCAATAGTCAACTAGGTTTCACTCAGAGTAGACCTACTGAAATTAAGGAATATAACTAAGTTTGGTCCAATATTTTTAACAGGTGAACTCTGAATAAAACAGTTGAATACCATTCAGACAAAATATATTGTCTTACCTTAATGTGTTTTACACCACAGCTGACAAGTTTGTTTGGTTGGTACAAGTCCCAAGAAATATCAAATATCTACAGGAGGGAGAGAAGAAAATAATCAAAAGTTTTGAAAATGTATTTCATTTAATCTGAAAATATCAATGAACAGAGAAAGGTGACCATGATATCTAATTTCATCATAGGTTTCCAATGACCTGTGCAATGTTAAAGCTTTTACATTATTTTCAGTGGTAACTGATCATCTTAAGGTAATTAATAATATATTAATATGAAGTATACTAAAGTATACTTTTATTTAATAATTTAATAATTGTCTCCCGAGTTGCTCCCATGGTTTCTGTGCCCATGGCATGGTCTTGCTTAAATTTGGACTCTGCCATGAAATTCACTATGTCATCTTGGGCAAGTCACTGTCTTTCAGCGTAACCAACATCACAGACTAACATATCTGTGAGACATAATTGTAATGTAAATAGGCAAACTTGCTTCATGCCACCAGTATTTTAAACGTCGTAATAAAAATAAAATGTATATCTAAGACGATTAATTCAGGTACTGTATTAGCTATAACTAAATGAAATTTCAGGTACTGAGGATTGTATACTTCTTAATACAAATTGATTGTGAACCACCTTCACAACTTAATTGTGAGTGAGTGCTGGCTATTGGAAACAGAACACTGAACTGAGTAGACCTTCATCTGATTGACAAATGAATCTCTTATACTCTTAAATCTGCAAAGCTAGAGATGAATAATCACAGGCTGAATGTCATTTAAGATCCTAGTTAGAAAACCGACATGAAATCCAAGTTCCTTGTTTTGGATGTAACAGGGAACTGTAGTTTAAGCTAACCAGGATTGTCACGCTCATGAATAAAGGAGATTGGGGCCTAGCTGTCAACCTTCCCTTTTTTTGCGGGAAATTCCCTTATTCCAGCGCCGTTTTCCGCTGCTTCCCGCTGCTATCCCGGATTGTTAGATATCCCGTAGACTGTCCCCGGGACAGGTGAGGCTGCTGATCCCTTATTTTTTGATCCCTTATTTGATCCCTTATTTTCAAATCTGAAAGTTGACAGCTATGGCATGAGGTGCCTGTGCAGGCCTGGTGCCCATTCCCAGATTGCTAATCTATGTTTTAGCAAACTGGTGGTTGTACTTCCAAAGCAGGCCTATAAGATTTGTGTCGGCACATGGGGATCACCAAACCAGGCAAGTCTGTGTATGTGTGTGTGTATGTGTGTATAAACAAATAAAGAAGCAAGGGGTACAAGTATATAACATTACAAAAATGCTATGATGAAATATTAAGGTGCTACTTATTTACTTTATTCCAAGAATACCAATATGTTTTGAGCAGCAAACTCAATTTGCCATTTCACTTAAAAAACAAAACAAAAAAACCACCCTCTGTGTTCTAGTATAGTCATCAAAATATGTTCTAACCAACATAAAGAAACACTCAGAAAAGAGATTCCTAAAATACATGCAAAAGTTTTGACAACCCAAAATTTGATACACACTCTTATTTTTAAAATTAAACTTACCCTGTCTGTATGACCAGGAGCCATAGACAACATCTTTCCTTTTCTCCAATCCCACACACAGATTGTATTTTTTGAATCCAAACCAACAGAAAGTAAACGCTGAACGTTTCCAAAATGTTAGAAGAGAATAAAAGAAGATATTAACATTTAAAATAACAATGTGCTCTGTACTTTGTGAGTGGGAGAACTCAACCAAATGATAATCTAATGACACACATATTTGAAAAAGTCAGCCAGATACTACAAACTTCCTAAAGACAGAGGCTAGGATCCAAAGGGCCATAGGGTTGTTGTATTTGGGCTAGAGCTTCCTCTCCACATCTGCCATTCTTCTTAACAAGGAGTTCATTAATAGCCTCTGATGAAAAACAAGAAGTTGAGAAGAAAAGAACCAGTAACAGGTTCAACAGGAATAGAAAAATGTTTGAAAGCCTAAATATGGAATGAACGTTAACCAGTGTTAGCACTGGTGCAGATATAACATAATACCACAGTTAAAGCAGATGAGGGTCAGGATAGTAAATTTGCTCTAGAGAGGAAGAAAGGAAGGAGGAGGGGATTGCAAGTTCCTGAGGTTGGCTTCTGGGATGCAAACCATGGTTTTCAGGAAGCTGGCAATCTAGATGGAAGCACTTGTGCATGGGTTCTTTGGATCCTACCCAAATGTATTCTCTGACAGAAAGAAAGTGCATATTTTAAAGAACAGAAAGAACATTTTCAGTAATAAAGAGAGAATATGAATTTCTGCAGTGGCTGTTTGTGCAATGCTCTCTTCAGAGAGGCTCACCTGGCACCTTCATTGCATATTTTTAGGCATCAGTCAAGAATGTTCCTCTTTTCCCAAGCCCTCAGCTAATTAAGCAATCTATGGCATTTTAAATGTTTGTGTGGGGTTTCTTTTCCTTACTGTGTTATGTATTTTGTTTTTATTTATTTTTTTATGTTGTAAACTGCCCTGTGATCTTCAGATGAAGGGCAGTATACAAATGTTGCAGCAGCAGCAGCAGCAGCAGCAGCAGCAGCAATAATAATAATAATAATAGTAATAAGTAGTAGTAGTAGTAGTAATAGTAGTAGTAGTATGCTGCTTTGATATGTAGGCATGTTTTTAATCGGTGGTGAAAACAGACCACTGTAGATGTCTGCCCAGTTCTAGAGGAAAGTCTGTTCCTCAATGCCAGTGCCATTACAGAAAAGGTCCATTTTAGGATTGTCATAAAATGAGCTAATGTAGGCTGTGGAGCCACCAGGAAAGTTTTCTCTGAAGATAAACATAATGCAATTTTTCGCTGATAGTTTTGATTTATTTTATTACCCTTGCATTACAGTGCAGAGTTAGATGATAGCATGCTGGCAACTGAGAACAGGCATGGTTCTGTTTTACATTGCCTTGCTTCTTAGCGTTTTATTTGTCCTAATCTCGTGCCTAAATTTGGTGATGAAATCAGTTTGAACTCACAGTAGTTTGTAGAAGAAAGCATACCTTTTCAGGGTATGAAAATAATTCCTTACCTCATTGTTTCATTTCTTCATGAGCTTCTATGCCAGTCCAAATGTTTGTATATAGATCCTCCCTGCCAAGCAGATGGAAACAGTACACAAATCCTTTTGGGTAATATCATTGCCTGTATACAAAGGGCTTGCCAATTCTGTAAGCTTCCACAACATTTTGAAAACAGCCCATATTTCTTGTGAAACATGACATCTTATTGAATTATCTTCACATATTTTATATGTAATTAATTTAAATTAATTCTACAAAGGTTATATTGATTCTATATAGAGGCTGGCATAGAGAATCTAAAAGAATAAAAATTAAGGGAAAGAAAAAATAATCCCATTTCCTTATTGATCCTCTAGGCCAGTCCAGAAGCTGACAACCTTCCAAAGCATCTTTACATACCACTAAACTGGGATTAGCATCTTCCAGTACTGTGCAGTGTGCTGTTCCTAAATTCTATCAAAGATTTATGTTCCTAGTAGTTAGGAAGCGCATGAAGCAATGACAACCAATTATTCATATATGCAAATTATCAGCAGTGATGTGCAAACTCAAATTGTGCCAATAATTCTTATTTCTTTTAATATATTTCCAAGCATCTCCCTTTCATTTCTCTACGTTATTCTACAGACAACAATATCTGAGCTTACTATGCAAGCAAGCCCTTTATGTACAGTACATGACATCAGACATCACTTTAAAATATTTTGTACTATCCATTCTGCAGTTTAGGTTAACCCATAGCCAAATATCTGGACTGGCATAGAGGATCTCAGAGAATGACACACAAGCATCTAGAAATTTAAGAACCCTGTTCCATGAAACATTGAGTCCAGCTGTCTGTATCCCATAGTAGTTTGTTGCACCTGGAAAGCACACGAGGTGGACATTAAGGCAAAAGTCCTTTCCCACTGTTATTCCTTCTTCTCCTGCCAATCAGCTTAACTAGATAGTCTTCAGGCCTAGTATTATGAGGGAGGAAAGGTTCTCTTACTCTGCACACCATGCAAAAACATCAACCCCACCCCACCCCCTTAATTTCCCTTTTTCTATTCTAACAAGCCCCAAATGAAAGGAAAGGTTCTCAAGCAGCCAGATCATTTTGGTACCCTTTTCTACACATTTTCTGCTCTACAATATTCTTTTAGAAATGTGGAAACCATAATTATGTACAGTATTCCAAGTGTGCCCACACCTGGCACTAAAATACAGGGAGATTTATTTTGTGATTCCTTTTCTACGAATTCTTATCATGGAACTTGGTTTTTTACCCTGCCACATGCTGCTAGATTGATTTTTTATTGCACTAGCCACCATTACCTCATGGTTTTTTTTTTTTCTGGTGAGTTGCCACCAGTTCCAATTCTGCCAGTGCATATGGGATGGTTTTTTCACTCAACCCATTTTGGAGTGATCCTTCTGGGGCTCTTTGCAATCCTTTTTGTTCTTACCACCCTGAAGAATTTGATGCCATTGGTCACCTTGCTGCTCATTCCTAACTCATTATTTATGAACAAGTTCAAAAGTGTCTGTCTCAATACAGATCATGAAGTGTCGGTGGGTTCAGGCATGACCCAAGACCAGATTTCAGCTCAAAAGGATTTATTGTAACATCAGGAACTAGAAGAGTAGAATGGGCAAACAAGGGCACTCCCCTCCTGTGAAAGGTCATCTTATGCAGTGATTGGCAATTCATAACACTGGCCCTATCTCAGCTGCCTGCCAGCTCCCAGCATATGTCATTGGAGGGTTTTAGAATCCTCTCTGTCTTTTGTTATGCAGATCAAGCTTCTGAGCTCCAGGAAGCATTGTGGCCTAGGCCTGTAATGTCATGCATATAGCCTGGCTTCAGCCTACAATGCCTGCATACATAACAGATCACACCTTATTCCTTTGATTCTGAGAACTATCTGTTCCTATTCTCTGTGCCCTATTCTTTAGCCAGTTACTGTTAGGACCCATCCTCTTATCCCACATCTGTTTTTTTCAGGAGTCTTTGATGAGATGTTTCTAGAAGTCCAAATATACAATGTCTATTGGATTGCACCTATCAACATGCTGTGAGAGTTTCAATCAACTTGTTGCTGTTGTTGTTTAGTCGTTTAGTCATGTCTGACCCTTCGTGACTCATGGAGAAATTTACCTTTGCAAAAAAACATTTTATTTCTCCTTCAGCAAGACTTATTATTCTGATGCTCAAATTTTGCCTTTGAAAATCCATACCAGAGTCCTTAAGCAGCAAGATCTTAGTGGGCCAAGTGAAGTTATAAAAATTAGGATTGTACTCACTCACCTCAATCAGAGGTTAGCAAACACTGAAAATACACAAGACTTACTGTGTATAATTTAACTGTACCTTACTGATATTTTCAAAACGGTCTATTGAGAAAACACATTCCCTTTCCTGACTCTCCTCCTTCCCACTTAAGTTTTTGGTTTTTTCCCTTAATCCAGTTCCTTGATTTTTATTTCTTCTTGGCAATTTTTCTCTATTGCAATTAAATAGCAGCATTGCCTGCACCACACAGATCAGCAGATGAGATGCTATGCAGAATCCTGCACCATAAACATATCAGTAGATGAGTTGCTATGCAGAATCATGCCTGGTAAAACTGTTTACATTTATTGCCCAAAGGGAGTAACAGAAATAGCAGCTGTCTTTTCTACATCAGATTCTCAGTTCACAAAGGCAAAATAATGTTTACATACATTTCAAAGATTGCTTTAAGTACTGCCTTTCAAAACAAAGTTTAGAAGCTTATTATTATTATTAAGGTGTGGCTAACCTGTGGTCCTCCAGATTTTGTTAGATACAAACTCTCTTAGCTCCAGGAAGCATGGCTAATAGTTAGAGATGTTAGGAGCTTTAGCCTAGCAACATCTGGGGGAAACAAAGTTTAGTCACCCCTACCAGAAAGACATTAAACAAGCTGTACAAAACGCTCTTGATAGTTAGAGGTGTGTCTCAAATGAAAAATATTGCACTGTACCAGTAACAAATGTCTAACAGCATCACAAAGAAAAGAATATGAAATGCCACTTTGGGGGGAGGGAATCAAAAAATGGTGTGTGAAATGTGTGGGTGTGCGCTTGACCCTTCTTCTGCTTGCCATTTTTTATTTAAAACCATCTTCCTTTCATTTCACTCCCTATCCTACCCTGGAAGGGTTTCAAGTGCACATTGACTTTGAATATGTGCTTCCCAGTGACCACTGAATGTCAGTGATAGGCGACTAACCACCATAAGGTTAATGTTTCTTTCATATAAAAGCAAGAGTCTCAGTAAAAAACCTATCAATTAATAACCCTGTCATAAACTCCCAAATATTGTGAACCTTAAATTACATAAGTTTGTAGAAAGTCATTTGTGTGCTTGCCTAAGTTGAGTAAGAATTTATTGCATGTGGCCAGGCAGGAAAGTTTTTGTAAACTGCCAAGGGTTTCCTCCATTTCTTTTCAAGCTGTCAATATGCCACAAATGACTAACATGAATTTGTGTGGGCAAACAGACCGAAAAAAATAATAACTAGAATTCATACATTTATTCCAATCTGTTTGCAAGGACATCCTAGCGGCCATTCTGTCATCAGTTATACAGTTATGTAAAAGAGGATTGAAACCTCTTTTTTCCCCAGCTAGATTTTGTTGACTGCAGAAAACATACCATAATGTGTATTCTTTCAGAAGCTTCAGGGTGCATTTGCATGGCCCTGGGTGATCAGTATACTTACAAAGTTCATTCTGAAAACACAAAAACAAACTCTACAGCACAGCAGAAAGCAGGCGTGCAATGCTGTACCACCTGTACCACCCTACTAACCACAACTGCAGTAAGCCATAGGTTGCCTTACCAGGCCACTCACATGCAATAACTTTGCTGCCTGTTTTTTAGAATGACGCAGGACCCATTTTAGCTGTGTAAATGTGCCTTAATTTATCTCATGTCCATATTTTTTAAATGTCTATAAAAATAAGTAAAAAAATATGAGCATTTCGGTTAATTTGTCTCCCAAACTCAGTATGTACAGCAGAATTCATAGCAAAATGATACATATCATGCACTCATTAAACTAGAAAACTAAACACATACACATACCTGACCATCTACGTCAAATGCCAAGCAAGCTATACCATGTGTATGAACATCTTTCATTACTGATATTGTCTGCACAGTGTACGAGTCCCAAACACAGATATACGGTTCTTTCCCAACTTGACCTGTTGCCACCAATACTCGTTCAGGATGCAAAGCAAGACTTGGAAAAAAGAAACATAGGGGAAAGTTGTTATTAAAATTTAAAACAGCTGTTCAGCATTCTGAATGCAACAAAACTTTCTATAAAAAATAAATACAGTTCTGATCTTTCATTCAAAGGTGTTACAGCTAATATGTCTAACCATCTTTTTCTATACGTGTGCTTTAAACAGGAATGGCCCACCCATGAGGCCAGGTGAGGCAACCACCTCAGGCGGCATGATCCACAGGGCAGCAGATCCTGATCTCAATCTTTCTTCCCCCTTGTCCCCGATGTAGATTGTCTCTCACCCTGGTAGAAGGGGGTGCCATTTTGGGGTCCGCCACAGGTGCCAAATGGCTTGGGCTGGCCTTGTTTTTAAGATTAGTATTGAAGGCCCTAATTAATGGACTGTCTTTACATTTAGTTAGTTTTAGACTTTTTAAAACCACCTTTCAAACAGATTTTAACTGATGTGTTTTATTGGTCATGCTGTTGTTTTAATTATGTATCATTACTATAGATATAAAAGTTATTTTTTATTCTAGCTGAATATAACTTACTGAATTATGTTTTAATATATTGCTGAATGTTTGTACTTGTTTTAATTTTAATATTTTGTTATTGTGTTTTTATTGTTGAGTTTTGTTCCTCTCCTTGGGTGGATATGGTCCACATGCATGCACACACGCACTCACGCACATACAGAGCAGGAAATTAGACATATTATATATCTCTCTCTTTATTGTGGTCCATAGACCCACAAAACAGTTTCAAAACACGATACAGTTAAAACAACCAAACAACAGGCGAAAGAGACCGAGGTAGTCATTTTGTTATGCTTAGAGCATGATGGTCTTTCTTTCTTGCGACCTCTAAAAGAAACTGCCACAGTGAGTGTAATATCATTTGACCTATCCTCCAGAAGGTATTTAATATGGGAGGCTTCAGATTTTCCCGGCAAATTTGACATATTTGAAGAATGGAAAAAAGAAGGAAGAGGGAACCAGGTCATTAGGCTTCGACAGCTTTATTTTTCATTTTCTTTTCTTCTTTTTCCCTGCCTGCAGTGCTAATAGTATCTAAATATAGAATGGAAAACTAATTGCAACTGGCTAAGATGACTGACTAATGAGAGAAAATTTGTGAGCAGTTAAATCCTCAGCTCAGGTGAATAATAATCTGTGTGGCTCAGCTAAGAATAAAAGAAAAAAGACCAACAGAAATGAACTAACCCGTATAATTAAAATATAACCAGAATATATGACCTAGTTTTAAGTACTTAGGCAGATGGTCTGTTTATAGCCTTTGGGCAAGATTAATTATTTGAAGAAAAGCTGTATATTATACATAAAACAAAAAAGGTCAAGCAGTCAGAGCAAGGTGGCATAGAAATAAGCACTGGTAATATATTATCAAGGAGATGGCTTATATACTATTACACAAAAAGGGCCCATTTCCCTCTCCTTCAGTTTAAAATGTTATTTTTAACATTGCAGCTTTCTTACATTTTAGTTAAATATTTGACTGTAGCTACAAAAGGCAATAGGGTAAGTGATTAGAATCATAGCGGCAAAGAAAAGACCTCTTGTCCAGTTCCTCTAAGGCAAGATCCCCTGGACATAATTCCCTACAGATTAAATGCATGATAAACCACAATTTGCCACAAGCAAATAGCAGGAGAGAAGTTCAGTGAACAAGATGCAACATACTAGTGGTATTTGAAGAAAAAATAAGATAGAATGAGTCAAGCAAATCAACCATTGCACATTTCTGAATAAAAAAATACCCAGGGTCACTAACCAAAGTGACATGAGAGGAAATTGTTTTGTGACTACTCAAATCCCCATTAGACCTTGGGTGTAATGTAATACCCACCCACTGAGACTTCCTTTAACAACACCACTTCCTTCTGCCAGGGCTGGTTCCCCATTTGGGCACAATGGTCTCAATGGGTCTACCTCCTCCCTGCTGTTGCTACTGCCTCTCCTTTTGGGCTCAAATCAGCACCACTTCCTGAAGGAAGAGGGAATAAAGCAGATACAATGTACTGCTTCTTCTCATTATTCTCACAGTGGGCTCATTTACTGAGGACAGGAAAGCATCAAGGAGAAGCAGTGTCACCACCAGACACCAAGGATTGGTAATGGGCCCTCTACTGGGGTGTGAGCCTTAGTACATACCCTATTATACCAACCCCTGATGCCAGCCCAACAGCTAATTCTCCCCTATAAAAACCCCATCTGTTACCACATTCACAATACCGCAGAAAACACAAGCTTGTAAACTCATGTTTGCCATGTTTTACTGGAAAATATATTCTCCCATCTCAGTTTCTTTACTGCAGCTGTGACAGCCCCTGATGCCCCAAAAGTGAGGAAGGACAAAGAATCTAACAAAATGCAAATTAAAGCAAGATGATTAAAGCAAGCAAACAAACAAGGCTGTGGGAGATTGTGCAGCTACCATCCCTTCTTGCCTTTCCTTCTCCAGTCCTCTTATACACCTTCCTCCTGTCCTTCTCCTACTTAGAAAATGGAACTTTAATATTGTTAAATGGCAGGCAAGGGAAGAGGAGCCAGGTGAAAAATCAGATGAGAGGTACATGAGCTGCACAATTTTCCACTGCATCATTCTGCAGGTTGTAATCTTGCACCCCTATCTGGTATATCCTCAAGAAAGAAGCACTTTTAGAGCCTTCATTAAAGGGCAAGATTCATCTAGTTAAGCTGCCTAGTGACAGCCTGGTGATCTTCCAGCTTATTAACTATTTCTTTGTACACAACAATGGTAATAGGGAACATGTCATTGCACACAGACATTGTCTTTGACTCATACACACACATTCATTTTCTTGCTCTATTTCTATAATCATTAAGAATCATTATTTAGAAAATAATTCTGAATGGGGTGGGGGAGCACTGTCATAAGAATCAGTGCAGTAAGGAAAACATTTTAATTTCTGATCCCATTGTCACTTTGTGGAAGACACTGCCAGTACGGTCTAATATTCTCTATAGAAACCCAGACTATGGGACACTAGAGTATATATAACACAGGGTGGAACTCAAAATCACATTAAGAGAGACATGGAACTGCTACCACTATCTGTCTCTTTCCCGTCTAACATCCCATCTACTGTAGCACCACATACATTTTGCTGTGTGTTTCACCATGCCCACATCACATCACCAGCTGTTGATATTCAAGGTACAGAAGCATATCGGGTGTAATTCAACATCATACTCTTCAGCTGCCAGATGGAACAATCCCCCCAACCTGTTCTGTGGGCTCTCCTAACCTCCCCAGAGCCAATTTCAGGGGTGCAGGGGGATGGCTAAGCCGCATTGTGCAAGTGGAATCCCACCCATAGCATGTTGTGTTAAACTACACGTTATTATTAGGGAAACTCATGAATTGACAGCAGCACTTTATTATTATTACACTCCTACCCTTCCAATGAATTTGCTTCACTTAGGGAAGCTTACAGCAAATAAAAACAATAAAATCCAGTAACAGGCTATTCTCTGGTAGAAAAAAATATCCCCACAACAAAAATCATACTCAAGGGAAGAAATTTGGAACTGCACACCACAAATGAGAAATGGCTATCCATTTGTTGTGCTAAAACTGATTACCAAGGAAAGTTAATAGTGTCATTAAATAGAAAGTACAGCAACTCTCAATCAGTCATTTTATTACATCTGCAGGATCTTACCATACACAACAAACTATACATTGATGTTACCTAAGCCAAATAAAATAGATGAACAACTATTTACATTTATATTTTTTATAGGAATGAGTGTTGGAATTTCTTATATTCAGATAGCAGCAGAACACAGCTTATACATCCTAATTTCTTGACATAATTGCTTTAGTGTTTATGGCAGCGGTCCTAAATTAGGCACATGACATTACATCCTGCTGATTTCTCAAAAACGTAAAGGTACTGTATATTACTAGGTGAATCTTGTAGAGCAGTGCAGTCCAAAATCATATTTTCCATTGTCAAATGAGGACAAAATATATTTCCACCAGATTTTCCTCATCTAAAACTTAAGATCTTTCTTTCTTTCTTATTCATTCATTCATTCCCCTCCCTTTACAGGTGAGCTTACAACAAAATCGGACAAGATAAAAACAAAAAATAAACCCCATGAAAACACCACCACCAATTATAGCAACACATAACAATTTATTAATAACAGCAGTGACAATCAATTTATCTAATCATGTCACTTTTCCAAAAACCTGCCAAAACAGGTGCATTTTAACCAATTGTCTAAAATTATATAGAATTGAGGCCAGCCATAGTGGAGTGCCTGTGGGAGTTCAGGTCAATGGGCAAGCCTAGCCTTAAAGGTTGCAAAAGAGAAAGAGGAAATTCAACAGATAAAACACACGCAATCCCTCTAAATCTCCTTTCCCCTTTTTCTTTTAAAGGCTCCCCCATGCCTTCGGAAACTGCCCATCAGAAATCCAGCTGCTATCTACTGGATAGTTTCCTCTTCCCCTGTGCCTCTCAAATGATTTTTTATTAATTTCCTGCAGTTTCTTCTTCACAGCTCTTTTCACTTCTATCCTCTTTGAACTTTGGTTTGAACTGGTCTTTTTAGCATAAAGATTGACCACTTTGTTATATGTAGAAAGCAGAATGGTACTGCTTTCAGATGAGGGCATATATTGCACTGGAAGATAAGCCAGTGTATGATGTTATTAGGTCCTGTAATTTGTTTTGTCAAGCCTATCCAGATGCTCATAAGAGCTAGTGTGAATTTTAAACTGCTTTGGTATTTTAACTTCTTGTATTGTAAAATTTTCCTTATTTTATAGATTTACCTTTTTTGTAAACCACTTTGAGGTTTACTATAATCAAATGGTGCATAAATTTTATTACCCTAGAGGTCCATGGACCACAGGTTAAAAAGCCCTGTTGCAGTAGATAGTTCCTGGGTACCAGTCTGGGCCTATCAATCAACATGTTCAGTTTATTTGGTGGATACTTGTGGTATATCAAA